AACAACTACGTTGGATGTATTAACGTGGACTACCTTAGAGACTAAGTTGGGTTGATGCTGGTAATGTCGCGGCACAGAGCCAGCGACCCCCTCAGGCCGATCTGGTGTTGGGTCAGGCAAAGGCCGCCCACGGACGTGGGGTGCAAGGCCAGAGCCTGAGCTTGGTGCCTCTTGCTGTTGCTGTTGTCCTGCGGGATCAAGTGGTGGCAAGTCTCGGGACGGTGGACCAGCAGGTCTTGGCCCCCCAACTCCTGGCGGAGGGGGTTTTACGGGCTTAAGATTAGCTGGATTAGGAGGAACTGGCCTATTAGGTCTTGGGGGAATTACCACAGGTGCAGCGGGTGCTGCAGGTGCAGCCGGTGCAATGTCCACAGGTGGACGTTTCCAAGGCAGATTCTTCTTTTTCTCTGGAGCTGGTGGCAACGGTTCAGGCCTTTGAGGCGTGTCGGGGACAGCAGCCCCCTTTGCACGGATTGGCACAGGAACGGAACTAGCTCTTTTGCGAGACTTAGATGAAATCTTATTGGAAATTGGTACTTCCCTTCCCCTTTGTCTGGCAGCAACTGCGGGCGCAGTTTCGGCTGAGGGTGCTCTTGACCTGGATCGTGCAACGGGAGAGCCGGCTGGCTCTGATACGGTCTCTGTCGCGACACGGGCTGTGTCAGCGACCCCAGTTCCAGCACCTTGCAAAGATTGCCTCCAGGGATAAGCTGAACTACTAGAACCGCTTAATGGGGGAACAGTCAAAGATGGTACTGTTGGGGCTGCAGGTGGTGGTGCAGCAGAAACTGGATCTTTTCTGGGCTGTGCCGGCTTATCACGTTGGATTCGGGAGGTTCTTATGTTAGGACGCTGTCTCTTTGGTGGAGACTCAATTGGGCGGGCAGGGGTGCGCTCAGCGAAGCCAGCGTCGAAAGGTTCTTGCTGGCCAACAAATGCCTGACCTGATGAAACAAACCTGGCGGTTCGAGTCTCAGCAGTTTCAGAGCCCTCAGATTCGGTACCGGGGTTATTGGTGTCAAGATTATAAACACTGTTGGGGTCTAAATTACTTGAACCAAGAACAGTACGATGGGATCTAAGTGCAGGATCACGCCACAACGAGTCGGGAAGCTCGTGCGGGTTGACCCCAAGCTCTGGTGCCACGGCGTGCGGCACAATGAACGGCAAAGTCTGCGGCGCGTACGCGATCGGAGGATCAGCGACCCTAGCCCAGGTGCCAGCGGAGTCAATTCTAATTTCGGGGTAACCGTGCACTTGGGGTCTTAAAGCAAGAGGTCTCCTAGAAACACCGGTTATGGTTCGGGCTCTATAAAGTTCTTGATTAAGTTCAATGCGTTCACGGGTCTCCCTTGGGACTAGATTGACAGGCAATGGCGGATTGGACCTAGTTCTTTTAGGCCTACGACGGCGCGTGGAAACCTCACGGCCGTGCTCTGTTGGTGCAAAGTCAGGGAATTCAGGTTCACCTTCGGCCTCAACCTCAACTTCAACCACTTCGTCCTCCTCAAAAACCTCCTCTTCCTCCTCTTCCTCCACCCACTGCTCCTCTTCAGGCGGTGGATCGTTGGGATCCTCCGGAGCAGTCTCTCCTCGCGCCTCTGCTGGTCGGGAACTGCGGGCAGCGAGCTCCTGTGCAGTTGGCGGCGGATGAGATGGTGGTGGTGGAAAATTATCACTGGGTGGTGGTGTATTAGGAGGTGGTAATGGTGGTAAAGGTGGTTGTTTATGAGAGGGCGGACTAGGGGCAATGTTATTAGGCGGAGGTGGCAAACTTTGAATCCTATCTGCAAGGGTCGTGGCACTAGAATCAGGAGCTTTAGGCCTAGCTTTAGCTGGTGGCTTAGCAGGGCTAGCAGCTGGGACTGGTGCTACGTCGCGCCCAGAGGCAGCGACCCCTTGAGAATCTGACTTTGGGGCTTGTGGGACCGGATGGACAGAAACAGTAACCCTTGGACGTGGAGGGACTGCTGGCTCAGGTGGCCTTCTCAAAGAAGGTTGCCAGTTTGGCGGTGGGTGCCCAGGCTCCTTGGGTCCTTGCTGGACCGGAGTTGGATCTGCGCTTCCACTTGCCGCGCCAGCAACGGGTGTTGCGGCAGCAGGCCTTTCCACTTTTGCATGGGGTTGCTGCTGTGGGCCTACGTATCTATAATACCTATCCCACTCTTCTGGGCGTGGGTGCTCTGCCCCTAAGATGCGTTGATTGATGATCCTTTTTGGGGGTAGTTCACCAGAGTTTATCACTTGCTCAGCGTGTGATGTACCTCTACGCCTGTCCAAACCGTAGGTGTGTGCCCACTCTTTGTAAGGGATGAGGATCTGGTAGGCCAAAGCTAAACACTGTGATGTTGGGAACTCCTCAACAAGTCTTGAATGAAGAGCTATCAACCAGCGAGTGCTTTCGTCGGCGTATTCGTAAGAAATCTTTCTTAACCAAAAGCCACCTACGATGTCCCCTCCGGAATTGTGGTAAAGCCAATTTTGGTATGCCTCGAAGTCGTTCCACCAAGCTCGCTTTGCTTCTTGCCACCTGGTTTGAGCACCGCCCCTGCTGGATCGAACCCTTGTTCGGTGGGCTGTTGATGAACTAGCGGGGGAATGTCCTACTTGGATAGGATCGGCACCTGGGTCAACAAGATTAGGGCTAGTTGGTGGTGGGACTATTTGATCGGGGCAACTAGTGTTGGCTTCTGTCGCGACACCGGATGTGTCAGCGACCGCAGGCTCAGGCACGGATGCAGATGGTTCGGATGCAACGGATGCTTCTCCTACTGGACCCGCCTCGTCACCTAAACCTAAAAGATCGGCTGTCTCAGCTTCTGGATCGGCTTGCTCAGCAAGAGGCAACGGCTCACCTGCAGGACGGTCTTGACCTTCTTCCTTCACACGATCTAAATCAGCAAAGGCAGTTTCAGCTGGGACTTCGTTGGGGTCAGCCTCAACCGGATCAAAAGCTTGGTCTGCAGGGTCCGTCGCGACTTCGTCAGCGACCTCTTCTGGCACTCCAATCACAGAAAGAACGGCACCCAATGTTGTAGCCTCTTGGAACTCCTCCTGCTTCACCTCCAACAGATGTCCTTCGGCTCGATCTGTGTCAGCTACTGCAGATGTTCCCTCAAGAGACGGCTCGGGCGCAAAAATATCCTCAGATGCGTCTGCCCAGGAGACGACAGGTTCGGTCGCAACTTCCACAGATTGGGGAACAGTCTGCTCAACCCTCTCTGCGTCCGTCGCTCCCTCCCCTTCGTCCGCTGGTGCTTCGGTCGCGAGTAACTCAGCGACCTCCTCAGACGTATCTGTGGGCATGCAAGTGTGACAGCGAAAAGATGAATGCGATGCTAGGGCCTAAGCAAGTTTTGATGAATAAGGTTCCCTAACACAAAGCCTTACGGCTGATAACCAGTCGAACAGGGGGAAGAAACAGAGACCCGCAAAAAGAAGGGAACCTGATTCAACAAACCCTGCATGAAACAAACAAGACAAGCACGGAACTTTTCCGCACTTGAGCCAAGTGTCCATAGCGTACATAGTTACCCCACCAGGTTGTTGTTAGGTGGGGGAATGGTGTACCTACTTCTCACTACGGCTACTCTCCCTACCTACCGCTTTTAGGTAAGGGGTGCTATTCTGTACATTATTGGGAATAGCTACATTGGAATTGAATGGACTCATAGCTATGGCAGTGCTCTACATATGACCTACTACCTATGCTATACATAGTGGGGCTCAGGGGTCGATATATTTCAACTACTAAACCCCCAAATATGGTAATAATATGTAATAATAGGTTTTGACCCATCCCCATATACATATGTATCAGCAGCGTCTGTGCGAGTGGGCAGATCTTTCTTGAAGTTGGGAACTTGCCTGGTTTGAAGTTGAAAACCCTGAGGCCTCCTTTTGGACATACCAATTCTTGGTAATTCCACTTGCCCTCTGGCAACTTGGTACCAGAAGCCATGGAAAATTCTTGCGCGTTCAGTTCACTGTACCAAGTTTCATCATCGGACTCGATGGGCCATAGATTCCATAGCTATGTAACAGATTACCAGACGGCAACCCACTGTTTTGATTAGTTCCCGTATTGTCAACCTCACTATTCTTAATTTTGGATGCTAAATCCACCATAAGAAAAAAAACTGCTTAAACTAACAGCTTGACATTAAAATCATTAAAAATCACCATGTTGAGGTTCGGGAAATCATCGAACTAAATGGGCCATAGATTCCATAACTCAAGCTTGGAGGTGCCTTCGGCAACGGCTGCGGCAGCAACTTCGAATCCGTGGAACACTCGGATTGGATGAAAGGGGATTTAACCACCACGATTGGGAATAGTCATGGGAATTGATTTCTTAGCGGAAAATGGTCCACTTATGGATGATTTACCTACGTGTACCTTTAAAAATGTGATTTCCCTAGCTACGTTAAACTACCAGAGGGTACCCTCCGGCAATCAAACGTAGCAATGGCAAGCGGCCGGTTTATAGATGATTTTCTCATTAAAACCTCCATTTAAATATAAAGGTTTTTCCATTGCTACGTTTGATTACTGGAGGGTATAGCAACCTCCCAAATAGACAGAAGTTGGTAAAATCCTGCTCCAACAGTGGTGAATTACTGCTGATTATCTATTTGGGGGTGCTACAAGCTAATATAAACATCCATGAAGTATCCCGAATAAGATGCTCATAAATGTCCAGTAGAACAATATCCCCATATAATCCGTACTATGTATAAATATATATACATATAATATATATATAATGTAATAAAACATAATATAATATAATATATATATATATATAATCGTACTATACGTTATTGAACATTTAACACCACCAAATTCTTGGTTTTAACCCTTCAACCACCATTAAACCACCATTAAACCACCATTAAACCAGCGCTACACCACCTTTATTATATGTGTCCAGGATTTTCCCCATTTTTGTCTCACATATATTCCCCTGTTGAATCCATATCTCACTGCCGAACTCACCGTCACCGCGTCGTGTTTGGCGGTCCGGACCCACCGCGGCCGGCGAAGGGGTTCGCCGCTGCGCCGGCGCCGGAGGAATAGATCTGACGCCGGAGGTCCTGTCAAGTGGTCACTCCCTAGTGGTGGTTGAATGGTGATTTTAGCATCAAAAATATTCAAACATCAAAATACATGTTGGTATAATGGGGCTGTCAGGGGAATTGATGGGGTTTCTATACTGGTTTAATGGGAATTCAATGGAATTTAGCGGGGTCCAGCGGGATTTGATGGTGGTGTAATGTGATTTGATGAGAATTCAATGGAGTTTAAACAAGTTTTAATGGAACTGAATGGTTTTTTGAGGATTAGACGGAATTGAAGTAACAAAAATGATGAATTTAACCATAGTGAACAGCAAATGGTGATGCAATGGCGGTTTATATAAAGGTGATTTAATGGGGACATAACAGGATAAACGGAGATATAACACCAACAACCTGGGGATATAATGGGAATCTTATGAAAAATTGTTCCTGGGACGGTTTATAAATGATGGCTTTAAATGGCGGATATCATTGCGCGATGTTCATTGTTTTAATGGCGGTTGACTGACCATTCAAAAGGGGGGATACAACTCGGATAGGCGTAAAATTGGGTCATGCGATATAGTTGGGAAATAATGAAGATTTCGGATGTAAGCTGGATACTGGGATTAACATGAAGTTTTATCAGGATACGTGCGTTCAGTCGGGATACAACGGAATACGCATCCAACAATGTACAAAGTCATGGAGATCCAACCGCCCCCCCTCAAAAGTGAGTAATTAGCCACCAACAATGGGGGCCCCCGAACAACGTGCCAGGAAGACGACAACGAGCACCAAGAATGCAAGATTTCGTAATGTTAATGCGAAGACCCATGCTGCCAAACAAGGTTAGCACGCTAGGCATGAGATGGGTCATCTGAGCAGCATTTCGGAACAACAAGACAGAGTCATCAATGAACCACAAGACCCAGAGCAACAGCAAGCCAGCACGGTATGGAGGAATTTCACCCTGCAGTTTCCACATTTTCCACTGGTCATTCAGCTCAGCAAAGCGGGCCGCGACAATGCGGCCAAAGAGTGTTGGGCTGTGGCTGCTGCCTTGTTGCGTGCCGCGCGTTTGCTGACACCACCTCACAGAATCCAAGAATTGGAACTGCAGGCAGGGATGGAGCAGAACCCACAGAAGAAGAGAAGCACGCTTTGCCGAGGTAGGCGATGGTGGGAACCCACGCTCCATGGCGCGCAAAGATCCAAGGTTGGCCGCCACGCGGCACCGCGGCATTCACCACTCTACGTCCTCCAAAAAAAGACGGTAAATTCGCCTAAGCATGCAGGGGGTGAAACGAAACAGTGACACGCAATAATGAAGTGAGGAAGTGCTTGAGCACTTCCTAGTAGCCTGATGGATGGGACCTTTTTTGTGAATGCTAATTTGCTAAGTTTGTTGTCGTTCAATAAACCCAGTGGCAAAACTGGTGGAATTCATGTTCCCCCATCCTGGCCATTGTCTGCCACCCCTCTAAATATTGGACGAAGCCATATTGGAGCGGTTCAATTCGCCTAGTTCCATATTGAATTTCAAGGGGGGTAGGTCAGCATAGGTCAGCCGTTTCCTTTCAAGGTCATCATAGATCGATTTTTGCCATGCAACGATGTTTGTTGTGTTTGGCATGTTCTTCACTGCAAACGGCAATGAGAATTCCAATAAACCAGCAACTTTTGCTGGCTTTAAACATATATAAACATACATAAAATTCCCCAAGGGGTCCGAAAATATATATAAACATATAAAAACCAATACTAAACCAGGATTTCTCCAGGGATATGAGTGATAAATTTCATATCCGGGGGGAGGGATTCACGGCTCACCTGCTGCTCGAGAGCTTTGGTGCGATCCTGGCGTGTCATGGAAACACGTGACGAGGTCTGAGGTGGAAATGACCTTCAGAACTCCATCAAAATCCTTCAAACATGGCGTAGAAGAGATTTTTTTGCCATAATTAGCCACTGGCTGGTGGTTTCACATCTATAAATGGTCCATAGATTCCATAGAGTATCCATAGATTATCCATAATAAGTCCCATAATCTATGGATAATCTATGGATATGACTGGTTGGTGGTTGAGCCTACCCCTCTGAAAAATATGAGTTCGTCAGTTGGGATGATGAAATTCCCAACTGAATGGAAAGTCATAAAATTCATGTTCCAAACCACCAACCAGGCCATATGAATTTCCAAATTTAGAAGTCATAAGATTCATAAGTCATCCTGACTCCCCAGGCCACTCCGCAATTGCAGCACTTCAACGCCAGCTCCTCTAAAGCGTCTTTGAATTCCTTGGTCACTTGGAGCAGCCTGCGTCCGGACGGAAATGGCGGATTCCTCCTGGGTTCATCAGTTCACGTGTCCAGATCACTGACTGAGAACTCACTTTTCCGTACTCAAAGGATCCAAACATGGCCGGCAAGATATCCTCTGGTAAACTAACACAACTATGGAAAATCACCATGCTATTGATGGGAAAATCCACGAACTAAATGGTGATTTTCCATAGTTATAGTTTACCAGAGGATATTAAAATCTACTATTGTCTGCTGTGGCCCACCCTCTGGTCATTCAACTTGGCAATGGAAAATGCCGAATTCCAGTAGGTAAATCATCTATGGATGAAAAATACAGGGGTCCGTTGCCATTTTTCATTACCAGACAGCGGAGCAAATGCCAAGGAATCTAAAACTGGTGAAAACATTGGAAAACATGTATATACATATATATATATACAGTATATATATATATATTCAATTCTGTACTCATTATCTCTCCAGGCTATCTTGCGATATTTGATTATGGCAACGGCAACACCCGACCTGGCTGCTGGTTGCAGCCTGAAAAATATGCTTGTTATTGAAGATCGTCATCCCAATAACCAAGGCATATTCGAAACCAGCAAGCACTTTATTTTTTAAGGCATACGGATCATATAGCAAACCCCAACCAAAAAAAAAGATAGAAAGGTAACATCCCACTAAAATAGTAACAAATAGAACCTGTTCTAGCAGTTCTGCCATTTTGGGGGTTTCATGACCTCCGGCAGTCAAACATGCCAATGGAAAATCAGCCATTTATAGATATGTTCCCAGTAAAACCTCCAATTATATAGGATTTTCAATTGCCATGTTTGATTACAAGGGGGTAACCATCATTCCTGTGATGTCGCAGTCAGGTCGTTTTCATTTAAAATACTGTATTTAGATTATGTATATATATATATATATGCGTGTGTGTGTGTAAGGTGAGGCCCCCAACTTAGTAAGTTGCTTAACGTTTGGGTTATGGGATATATAATAACTATAGTACAATTTGATGAGTTTATATATATATATGTGTGTGTATGTGTAAAAATGTTATGTTATATTAAAATATTATATTATGTTATATCATATTATATTATATTACATCAAATTATATATTACATTATATTATATTATATTAATTTATATTATATTATATTATATTATATTATATGTATATATGTTTTAATACGATTCAGATCAATTATAGTTATAGTATAATCAGACATCATCAACTATACTCATTTATTTAGATCAACTTTATACCACTGATATACTACTATAAGTGATTTATTTAGAACACCTATCTCTCTATATCAGTTAGGAAACGTTTACATAACTATGGAACCTCACCATGCTATTAATGGGTACATCCACTATTTCGACTGGGCCATGTTCAATCGCGTTTTGTTAGTTAACCAGGGGGTATATCCATCATATATCCTAATAAATCCCATTGAATCCCATTGTATCACCATTGAATCCCATTAAATCACCATTAAATCACCATTAAATCACCATTAAAATCATCCATTATATCATCACCATGCTATGTAGCTGGGAAAACTCACTATTTCTATGGCCATTTTAAATAGCGAACTGTAACAGTCATTTCCAGGCCGGGTAAATCCCCATGATATCAACCATTTCAAAACCATCAACGGTGGCCTGGTCTTGAGCGTCTCCACCAGGGTCGATGCATGCGCCTGGTAGCTCTTGTTCTTCCTTAAGGCGGCAGGACGGCGCGTGGCCATGGGGGCTCGGATGTTTTTTTTATGGTGGTTGAATGGTGGGTTTAATGGTGATTCAAGGGGCATTTCATTGCTTTATGATTTTTCATGGGAATTCATGGTGATTTTTCACCGAGATTTAGTCTGATTTAAGGGGCTCTCATGGGATCTAATGGGATCTAGTGGGGATTAAAACGCATCGTTAGTGGGATTCAACCCAAGCGACTGTCCCACTCCCAACACTCAGCAGAGGGTGGAGCGAACTTCACGGCTCGCGAAGGCATAGCATGAAGCACCAGCAAAATGTGGTGTTGGTCAGCGATCTTTCTTCTATCATTTGACGAAATTGACGGCAAGTGCATTGGAAAGAACATCAACGGCCCTCTTCAAAGCCTTAAAACTTCGCGTCAAAGGGTTGATCCTTTGAACCTCTGACCAGCTGAGTTTGCCAGCGGTTTGCCCTCGAATTGGAGGCCGGCCAGTCCTGATACTATCAGAACTTCCCATGTATCGTTTCCTTTTCCCATAACATGAAGCTTTCCTAAGTCATAGGGGTCCCCAAATCATCCAAAGTCATGAAAAACCAAGTCATTCGCATTGGGGCTCCATTTCAAGAAACCCCCATGTCGTGTTAGGGTAAAACAATCATTTTTACCATCCCCCAGTCATCACCAGCCATTAATAGGTGGTATATATAAACCATTCCCAGCCATGTGACTTAGTATTGATCCCCCTTGGGGTCCATGTCCAGAAACCCCCAGATTGGCTTTTTTCATCCATTTTACAGATGATTTATTAGTTAAAGTTACGCATCATTATCAACCAGTATTATTATCCATTACTAACCATCATCAACCAGTACCATCCATTACTAACCATTCTCAACCAGTATTTAGTATTGCCATCTGGTTATTTAACATAGCCATGGAAAATGGCCCATCGAAATAGATTGTTTACCTAACTTTAAAATGGTGACTTTCCAATATTTTCCATGGCTATATTAAATAACCAGATGGTATAGAATGGTTGATACTGGTTAATGGTGAATAATGGAAAATCATCTGGACATGGGCCTATTGATGGATTATTCGTGATATTTTCCCTAGGGTACACACACAGTATGATCAACCAGTATTATCAACCAGTATGGTTTATAACTCAAATTTCACTATGGTTTATGGTACGCTTAAATAACTATAGTATACTAACCAGTCATAGGGGGTTTATAAACCAACCAACTACCCTCTGGTAAACTAACATAACTATGGAAAATCACCATTTTGAATGGGAAAATCCACTATAAATTGCCATTTTCAATAGCTATTTTGACATAACCAGAGGGTAACATCACTGGGGGGGGAAGCTCCACTTTTTCCAAGGCGCCCGGAGCTTTTGACCTTGGATTCCAGGGCCTCGATCTTCTGATTCAGAAGCTGAATCTGCTGCCTGGTCGTCGAAAAATGTGAGTTCTGTCCAGGGGGATTCAGCTGGGATAAAAACTGTGCCCAATGTGATGTGTCTGACTCGTTGGTTTTATGAGGGTTTAATACAAGATATACCCTCTTGTTATTCAACATAGCCATGGAAAGATCCACCATTTTTAATAGGTAAACCATCTATTTCTATGGGCCATTTTCCATGGCTATGTGAAATAACCAGAGGGTAAAATTTTCTGATATGTAGCTAGCAATTTTGGGAATTTCATCGGATTTTGTTTAGGACTTAGGCAGCCCATGCGGATTTCACCAACAAAGTTTCACATGGAACTGGCTGTATTGAAGCAGTCATTTTGAGGGTCCCAAAATGATAATAAGGTCCTTAAAAAAAAAAAAACTAAAAGACGGAAAGTCACTCACAAAAAAAATCCGGGAACACGGTTTTTACCAAATGATTTTGTCAATCAAACCCGTGGCATTTCCATCTTCCCGGCTCTTCCCGGGTTTCCGCGCTTCACGGTGTGGGTCAACACCTTTCGAAGGTGGCATCCCCAATCAACGTCTTGACGGTGGGACAAAGCCAATAAACAACTCCCTGTTTGACCAGGAATGGGTCTATAAACCATGATAAAACATCCAAAATTGGATGTTGATCATTGGGCTTACCACATTCTAAGAATCATGTGCATGTGACATGTGGATCCCAAGAACACTGGCCGGTACCAACTGCGGAATCATGCGGCTTCGCTGAGAGCAAAAACAGAATGGGAATGAACAAAATCGTGATAATATGGTAAACCCAATCCCTCGGGAAAAAAAACAATATATATATATACACAAAATTATAGAGAGAGAGAGAGAGAAAGGTTTATTATATATATATATACATACCCCTGTTATGTTGTAATAAACCATAATTAAAACCATATTATTATTAGGTATACCGTGTACCCCTGTGTTGGGATGATTTGCAAAAATCGCAGCCTCAGGTTGTTGTTTTGGACGGCCAATTTTTTGGGATGTTTGTTGGGATACCCTCTGGTAAACTAACATAACCATGGAAAATCACAATTTTTAATGGGAAAATCCACTATAAATGGCCATTTTCAATAGCTATGTTAGTTTACCAGAGGGTAAGCATATGGATTCATGATGGTTTATGATGAAAAAAATACCACCTATTGCCAACTGATGGTTACTAATGGGGTTGAAACTTCCAACTGATGGTTACTAATGTGGGTAAAACAATGCCATAAGCCACCCATGACTGGGAATCGTTTATATCACCTATGTGTGGTGATTTGGGGGCTGGTTTATTATTGTTTTACCCACATTAGCCAGTTCTTTGGAACTTATTGGTTACAACATCCTGTTGTTCCTAAAATATGCATTTTTTAATTTTTTGATTGCACCGTCTACACATTCTCCCATCCCACTATACTGGTTGGTTTTTACGTATCCCCATGATGAGCTATTTTTTCTCACCGTCTGAAGTGGATAGTACAACCAAAAAAACAAAAATAACCCATCTCTCTGGGTGGAATTTTGAAGGTAGATGATGGGATCAACTGATGAGATCTGCCTATCTACCCATTCTGATTCAACTGATTCATGATGGGATCCCCCTCCATCGATGGGATCCCCAGTCCTGAATCTGGTTTGTTTTGTCGTTGAAGATGCCCTTCTGCTTGGACATCTTCCTGCAGAAAAGACAGATTCAATCATGAACTACCTGCCATATATATATCATATATATATATTGGTTGCTGATGGATAACCCAAAGTCAAGTGTTTCTTGGATAAATCCCCTGTTTCCTGAATGGTTAAATCCCAATGTTTGCTGGTGAAATCCCCATACTTTATGCTTAAATCCCCATCGTTTGCCAGTTGCATCATCTTGAATCACTGTTGTTCCCCCCCGCCAAACCTTTTTCTCTGCTGGTTTCTGGTTGTTTTTCCCTAATTGGTGCTTTCAATCCCCCTGAAAAATATGAAAGTCAGATTGGATCATCATCCCCAATCTGGTTGGGGAAAATAAAATTCATCTTCCAAACCACCGTAACCAGTTTCCTATTCTTCTGGGATCAAAATCACCCATATCACCCATTTCTCATTGGTTTCACCAACCCATTTTCAGGGTCCCTGGCTGCGTCCCCGATCCCACCGGATCTGCGTCCTGAGCTCTGCCACCTTCTGCGAGGTCTCGTGAATTTCACCGCCGATCTCGGCGGACCAAAGATTCAACTCTGACCTCGCTGGCGGGTCCAAAGGGAGCAACTGGAACCAGCTGATTCTGGTCATTTCATGGTGATTCAACCATAGGAAAATGGTGATTGAACCAAGAAACAATAGGGATTTACTGAGTTACTGGGATTTATAGCTGATTTGATGGTTACCCGGCCTGGTAAACGTTTACATAACGAACTGGAAAATCACCATGCTATTAATAGGTAAATCAACTATTTCTATCACCATGTTCAATAGCTATGTTACCAGAGGGTATTTATAATGGGTATTTCATGGGATTTTACTGGATTTATTGGATTTGATGCAAGGTGAGGCCCCCCAGTTATCACCCACAACTCCAAGCACTGCTGGTAAGTCCACCTGCTGGGCTCTCCGGCGTTGCCTGGGGCGTAGCTTCAAAGCTCAGGCCTCGCGGCGTTTCTCGGGGTCGATGTTGGGCGGATGGTAAATCACCATGGTAAATCCCTACGGTTTATCCTTAAATCACCCATGTTTGATGGTTAAATGTGTCATGGTTAAATCATCATTTTTCATGGTAAATCCCAGTTCATCCATGTGTGTTTTATCGTTCACAACATGATTTCCACCAGGCGGAAAGCCTCCACCACTCTTTGCAGCCGCTTCGCGGAGGATGTGCCTCCGAGTTTTTCATCAGACATGGTGGGTTTAAGCATCAAAAAATGGTGATATATGATGATACTAGGATATGGGCATATGATGATATATGAATGGGCATATGATGATATGTGATTACATATGATGATATATGATTATATATATATACATATATACATATGAGCTAACTAGGAATGCATCATCAAAATAATTCCAAAATTGGGATTCAATAGTATGATCTAATAACAATAGTAAAATCAAAAATTGGGATTCACCTAGGACTAGGAAAATGGCAAATATTTGGGGAAATTTTGTGAGAAAAAAGTAATGATGCACAATTAGCCAACCCCCTCAATAATGGTTGGGCTTATATGTATGCGAATCTGGACGACCAACAACCAGCAATACGGTAAGGGCGAACATCATGCATCTTGAATCAACAACAGGTACAAGATATACCATCTGGTTATTTGACATAGCCATGGAAAATCATCATTTTTAATAGGTAAACCATCTATAAATGGGCCATTTTCCATGGCTATGTTAAATAACCAGAGGGTAACAAATGGGATATGCACGAATGGTACGGCCCCTCTACTTGTCCCACAAGGACGGAGCCCTGAGCCTGAACTCATCTGTCCGATCTACCACCTCGTGAAGATGGTCAGCTGGTCAATTCGCCCTGTTACTGTAGTTACCCCCTTGGAAAAACATCCAAATAGCTGAGATTTGTGGATGCTCAATCCCCTTCACACAGTATATTTATAGGTATTGATCCATAGCCATACCATGCCATTGTCCATGATCATGGTGGCGCATTTTGCTTCGCACAGCTTTGCAATGATTACATCATTTATTGAAGTAACACGTTGTACCACGTTGTAACACGTTGTAACACGTTGTAACATGTTGCACATGGTAATATGCAATTCACTTATTTAAGTAAGATGCTGCATGTCGTAATATTATGTAGTATCTGCACGTCGAAACTTGAACAAATGCAATCAAGAACCATACAGGTGAGCAACATCATGTGTGCCATGGTCATCCCGCTATTATCGGGAACCATTATCTGGACCATAATGACTCCCTCTTTAGTGGTGGCACGACCATGCCTGGTCGCTAACCTCATTTTGTAAGGCTTACAAGCTTACATAGCTCTGGAGAGGTGTTGTGAAAATGATGGGCTTCACCACATCAATTTGATGACATTTCTCATCATTTCTCGGGACATCTTGGGATGAATTTCAGGGGATTATCTACAGGAAAGCTCCGTTTTTTTCTCAAAATTGAGGGTTTCCTGCAGATGTTCCAGGTTTTCCATCAGTTTTTGGGGCTTCCCGTGGGTTCCCTGCCATTTTTCCCATGAAATCTGGCAACTGAGGTCTCAGCGCCCATGATGTCGGCCTTGACCTTGGCCAATCACAGGAGCCAAATGGTGACTTAATGGTGATTTGATGGTGATTGATTGGGATTTCATGGTGATTAATGGGATTTAACGGGATTTAATGGTGATTTGATGGTGATTGATTGGGATTTAATGTGATTTGAATGGGATTTAATAGTAATTCAATCGGATTTAAATGGAATTTGATGGGATTTGATGCAAGGTGAGGCCCCCCAGTGATGTTTGTTGGTTGATAAAACCCCTTAAGTATAGTTTATACCCCCCACACATCCAAGTCATCCAAGTGACCCAAGTTATAAGTCATCTTGGCCATCTCGGGGGCCCCGAGCTGAAGCAACGCACAAAGAGTTTCCGTGGTCCCTGCAGCCGGAAATTTCCCAACTAGTACAATCTTGAGAAACAAAGTCTTGGAATATTACCCTATTCCAACTTGGGCCCTATGTATTGGGTTTACCAAATTACCCTATTCCAACTAATGGGCCAAAGTCTTGGAATAGGGTAATTTGGCAAACCCAAGACATACCAATGCCTAATGTGACCTCAAATGGGTGCTAAATTCATCTCCAAATCGTATTATTGGGTTTACCACATGACCATGGGATTGTCATTTCAGCAGTCTTCAAAACCCTCGTCCCTACTAGAATGGATTATCATAATCCCCAAGATACTGGGTAGTATAAGCCCCTAGAATATCCTATAATCATCAACCAACAAATCAATGGGAATTCCAAGATCCTAAATTGGAGGTACCTACCATATATAAGGCCTATGTAAGGGCTATGTAAGGGAATATCCCCACAAAATATGGCCTTATATGGTACTAACGTACCTCCATGTTAGGATCCTGAAATTCCCATTGAACAAAGGTGTTGAACCCTGCTGGTTGTCCATTTTGATCAACTGGGTACTCCGACTCCCCCACGCCAAGGCAGCGGGGTGTTTCCGCGGCCGGCGCCGCTTGGGTCAAACATGGAAAAGTCGGAACATGACCGGAGGGAGTGTGCCATGGTCAATGGTACATGGGGTATGGCATCCCACCATCATGAATGGGATTCCTTATCATGGGCATGCTACTACTAACCCCTATTAATGGCTTGATGACCATCGACCAATATGATCCAATATGGGCAGTTTACTCAAGGTTTGAGCATGGCATGTATAAAGATTTATTCAAGCAAACTAGCCATAACAGTGGGGTTATCTATGTATGGTCAAGTCACCGTCATATATCAATCATATACCAAACGGAACTGCTTAGCAACCCCTTTCCCTGAAGAACAACCCCATGATCTGTGACTCCGACATGAACACATCCACGACTGAGCCAGGGTTTCTGGGGTGCGCTAAAAATTCGCGGAAAGAAACTCGGAGTATGATTACCCATCGTGGAGTAGAATCTGAAACTTGGGCCATCCGCAGAAGAGAACTCTTTCAAACATAAATCTGCATGAGATGGGTGTGTTTGAAAATGGTGTATACTCCCTAAACATCCCTAAACCAGCAATTTTGATTGGGAAAATGATAAAGCGTGGAATTCTAAACAGACAAAACCATGCAAAACCTATAGATATTCTATCCGATCTATCCACTCCGGGGTGATTCGAAAGAATCATCTTGAAACCTCCACTATTTGCAGTTTCAAGGCCTGGGGGTATCACTGGCCGATGTTGATCCCGGAAAAAAAACAGGCGCAAATCAGGGGATCTCCCCTGCACGGTAGGGATGGAAAATGAAAACATAGCGGGCATCAAAATCATCAAATAAACAATGTAACAATGAAAATCCAAAGTCAGGCTGGTGGGTCATACTCAGCTTTGAAATCTATTTGACAAGACCATTTTGAGGCATCGGGCAGCAAAGCAGCAGTAAGCAGCGGCACTTTTCGACGGAAGCTGACAGCAATCATAGAGCGCGCTACGGGCAGGCCTAGCTGGATGGGTTTGGAGACCAAAAGGCTGAGGCTGAGAAGACCAAGTCGGGTTGATTATTTCAGTAGCATACCAAATGCCAAATTCATGCGAAAAATAACATCAAATCACCCCTCCTGCACCCCGAAATGCCCCTTCTTTTGGAGCCTTTGACGATTTTGACACATACTTGTTCATCAACAGTTTTGACCTGCCAAAGTCCATTACATATTCCAATAATGTTGGTAAAACAACAATAAACCAGCCCCCAGTCATCACCATTTCTACATTCCCAGTCATGGGTGGTTTGTGGCATTGTTTTACCCACATTAGTAACCATCAGTTGGAATATAACCCCACTAATAACCATCAGTTGGCAATAGGTGGTTTTAATCATCATTAACCATCATTAATCCATATGTTTACCCTCTGGTAAACTAACATAACTATGGAAACTCACCATGTTTAATGGGAAAACTCACTATTTCTATGGCCATTTCTAGATATGTTTACCAACCTCATTCTCCTTGAAGCAACCCCCTTTTCTTCCCTCAGCTCCAGCCAGCGGCCCCCGATTTCGGCCAGGCCTCAGCCATAGCCGCTGCGCTGGGCGGCGAAGGCCGCAAAGCCGCGACGTCGGGCCTCGAAACCAAGCTATGGGAAATCACCATGTTTAATAGGTAAATATGGTAAATCATCATAAATCATCTATTTCTATGGGCCATCTATACCATAGCTATTTTGACATAACCAGAGGGTACCGTATGAATCAGGATTTTTTTACATCTTCTAACCACGTTCTAAATGGGGATGGCTTAGAACCGATCTTTTGCAATGGGCCCCTTTTTTGTAGCAGCAAATGGCGCGGAAGTCCATCACTGCAGGATGGCCATCAATGACTTTCCCTACGCATGTGTATGTGTATATGTATATATATATACTTATATACATATGTAGTCAAGTCTGGAATCGCTAGAGAGTACCGATCGGCTAAGATTTTCTCACACATGGACCAACTATGTCTATCTTAGCTTTCTGTTGGGCGGGTTGCGAGCAGCATAAATGAAAATGGTCAGCTCATGTCAATCCTAAGTTTTATTCATGGGATAGTGTCATCACTCTGTATTTTCACATATGTTCAGATCACTTTTCTCCTTGTCTAATTTGACTACCCATCTGACTACCCATCAGAACGCTCTACACCTCTCCATTCAATGGCCAAACAAATCAAGGCCAGAAAACAGGGTTGCTCCCAATACCCCCAATCACAAGAGGGGAAAGTAACCGGGGGATAGTAAATAAAGAAATAAGACATAAAAATCATAACATGACTAATCCCCCCTATGGCTATGGCTATGGCTATCAACTGAAATCGCTTGGAGCAACCCAGATGGCGTTTCAACAGCGCTATGCTGACAACCGAGGTGCAGCTCTTGGGAAAGCCTCGGCCTCGTCGAAAGGGTTGGCCTGGAGCGGTGGAGGAAACTCCTGTGGCCCACGGCGGCCAGGTGGCCCACGGACAACCCGAAGTTGAAATGAGTCATTTGACTTTCGGGGATGTGTGTGTGTGCATATGCGTATATATATATATAATGTGAGTGTGTGGGTGTGCGTGTGTGTGTGTGCGACGGATATTGTGGCGATATCATGGGGATGTAATCAACAACGATGGGAACATCAAGCAACAATAATCTAGAGGCTGATGATTCAAAACTGGGGATGGACCTGCTTAGTGGTTGAAGAATTTCGCACCGCCTAAGTCATGGCGGTACCCCCAAATCATCCAAGTCATGGGGATGGACCATGACTTAGTGCTGAAACCCACGGTGACGACCGGGGATCCCCAATGACACCACCAGCGTTCAGGGCCTCTCCCAGGGGAATCAGTTCGCTGTCGCGTTGCGATTGGGCCTAGGCCCCGCGAGTCCACTGGAACATCAGAAAAAGTTCGGAACATCAGGGCAATCCAAGAGAAACACTACATATCATTGCATACCATTGCATATCATTACATATCATTGCATGTCATTGCATATCATTACATATCATTACATATCATTACATATCATTAAATATCATTACATATCATTATATACATATCATTGAATATCATTGCATGTCATTGCATACCATTGCATATCATTGCTGATGTTCATCATTCCATCATTCCACTGCAACATCGATGAGCCAAAACTCGCCCCTGAGGATCACACCCAGGTGGCCGCTACCTGATAGTTCCTCTCCCGCCGCTTCTGGGCTTCCTCAGGAATCCCACAGCTTTGGAGGACGGTGCCCTGATGCATTCTCTGGCAGCCCCTTGATGTGATCGGCCTAGGATCCGTCATGGATCCGCCCCCATCTCTCACTCAACTCAGCATGATCCTCTGTTCCAAAATGGACCGAGAAAGCTGTTGCCACTTCAATGGCACCGCCTGAGACTCTAACGGCCCGTCGCTGAGCCACCTTTCTTTAGGGTAACCAGTGCATGACCAGCGCATGTTGTTGAATTGCCGCTGGTCATTTGGGATCATAAATTGGGTATGGGTCAAAACAATTGGGCACCCAAAAAATTGGTTTGGGTTAATACTAAAATGATCACTATCTGCTGCCCCCTGGGCCTGGAATTGTGACCCTGGAATACTCGTTGTTGTTTCACTGTACGTTTTTGTGTTTTTTGGTTCTTCTGCTTAGGCAATCATCATACATCATCATGAATAAAGTTATTATGAAGTCGTTTCATTCCAAACCACCTTACCACCCTCTCAAAAACCAACATTGCAACTGAGAATCTCCAATTTGCAAATGTTTTTCTTAAATCAAGCTGCAGTTTTCTATAGATTTGCCTAGTCAGCCAGTGCGTTTTTTATGCGGTCCTCAGCACCCAGCCTCTTCCTCCACTGACAGCTTGGGAGGTGGAACCTTGGCCTCAAGATGGGTGAAGACTACCCTCTGGTTATGTCAAAATAGCTATGGAAAATGGCCCATTTATAGATGATTTATGATGATTTACCATATTTACCTATTAAACATGGTAATTTAACATAGCTATTGAAAATGGTGATAGAAATAGTTGATTTACCTACTAAGAGTGGTGAATTTCCATAGTTATGTAAACGTTTACCAGAGGGTACTATAGTCTATGCTGGCCATGCGTTTGGATTATCACAACCTTCCAACGGTTTGCCCTAGAGCTAGAAGATGTGATTGTCCCATTGTGCTCCATCTACCCAATAACTTTGGTGATATTTGCATTCAAATCCATCTTCTAGGAGTATCATCAATGGATTGGTTTACGGGAAAATTGAGACTGGAAACCCCCATATTTCATTGGAAAGTCCATGGTTTCCGGTTAAGATGTTCCCTTAAATCAATATATTTCCCCACAATTGTCCATCATTTTCCATCATGCCCCATGGTTTTCCATAATTTCCATGGTTTTCCATAATTTTCCCCATAACTTTCCCTAATTATCAAGGATCTTTGACTCTCAAACTGGCCCGACACCGCTAGCCTCCGAAGTTGCCACTTGACTGGGAGCCTGCGACACCAAACTGGACGACCAACGAATGCCATGTTGCCCGGTCCATCCTTTTGGAAAATGCCAAGAGACCAACACACTTAAACTTTCTGAAAAGGTATCAGTAGATATTTGTGTAGATAGTGCATGAGTAGTACTATAATATATGTTCATAGTTCTATAGTTGCAGTACTTATCTATCAATTCAATCCACACTTTTTTTGGTTCATGACGTTTTTTCCTATAAAAAGATAGGGAATGCCACCAAGGCCACCTTGACCCCGCCTGCGCTGCGACGATGGACATGGCCGGCTCCGGTTTCGCCAACGCAGACGGCTCGGCTTTCACCAATTGCTCCTGCCACCGCGGTGCAGCCGCCGCCGCACGCTGCTTGGGCTTGGGGGGCTGCAACGGCCTGGGTGGCTTGGAGCAACCAAGATAGCTTGGGGGTGCAGTTGAGGAATGGATATCCTCTGGAAAATTAACATAGCTATGGTAATGGGTAAATCCACTATTTCTATGGCCATTTTCAATAGCTATGTTAAATTACCAGAGGGTATAACTACCATAGTTATCAACCCCATGAGTTGGGATATCACCCCTTAGGCCCTATAACTAGTAGCTGGAACTGCACTTCCAAGAGGCAGTAAACACCCATGGAAAGTGACCAAACCTGAGGGATTGGTGCAGAACCACCACAAACATCTTGTACAAGGATTGGCACCCACCTGCGACCCGGATCAACCATCGATATCGTTTTTCCATCATCGCCCAATGGATTGGTCTCATTGATTGAAGGGAAAATCTTCACCGGAAACCATTGTTTTTCCCATGGAAACCATAGTTTTTGCCATGGAAACCATGGTTTTTCCCATGAAATCCAGGGGGTTCCCGCCAAGAGGCGTGGGCAAAGCGGCGCTTTTCATCAAGCTCTGTGGGATGTCGCCGCCTCAACCGGTGCCAAAAACAGGAACGGGAGACCGGGAGACAAAGAAAGTACACGTGGTCAATAAATAAGCAAACCAACTAAGAACCAAAATGAAGCAAAATGAACCAACTCGAACAAACCCCTTAGGTATATTTAACTGTATATTAGACATTTAAGAAGTGGTCAGTGGTTAGTGTTCATAACTGAAACCACTCAGAGACTAATAACCAACTGGATGAGGGTTGGGCCCCCCCCTCTCATCATTGGTTGGATCATCCTTTCGAATATGGTTAATGCACTCGCATAATCAGACATGGCAGTGGAAAACTCTCCATTTATAGATAATTGTCAATTGCCCCACAAAAATGTCCATTTAATGGAGACTTTCCAACTGCCATGTTTGATCACCAAAGAGTATCCTCATGAATATCCCAACTCTTGAATAATTAAATTCCTATTTATCACTACAAAACCCCATTAAATCACTTTTAATTCCCAGAAAATCCCATGAATGTCTAATTTATCACCATACACATCCCTTCATGTTGATCCTGCGTTGCCACCGTGAAACGTGGTGTTTCGCTCACCAAGGAACCCATCTCTAACGCCGAATGCATCTTGAAGCCTGGGCTCGCAGTTAGGATGGTTGAAACCCTATGAATAATTGGATATGGTGGGATGTTCACCACCTCTCCAGCCTATCCACCGGTGATTTCGCAACCACTGTAGCTGCTGAAACACAACCAATGTGCAATTTCGCACCATAGTTTCCATAGCTTTGTCAAACTACCATACCGGGTAAGCCGTTTTGATGCGCTACCACATAGATCATCCCATAGAAAGCTAGGGCTACTGAAGAATTAGTCATGGGGGGTTCCTAAGTCATGGGGGTATCCCCAAATGGATGGTTTATAATGGCAAATACCATCTGTACATGGATGATTTGGGGGTACCCCCATGACTTAGGAAACCCCCCATATGTTAATCCCATATTCCCACGGGGGTTGGTTGTACCCTGGCATGGATCGAACGCCATTGAAAATGAGCCATTCAGTTCGATGATGATCCCAGCTATAAACCGCCATTGATAGAGGATTCTGAAGTGCCATGTTTCATGACACTGGTGATATTCAAATTCCCATGCATCACCATGAAATCCCATTGGATCACCATTAAACCGCAATAGACCCCATCCAACCACCCACAAAATCACCCACAAAATCTGGAAATCACCATCAATCCATTCCCTCGAAACTCTCCCGGTCGAAGTCCCAGTTGCGATGACAGCTGCGCACGGCGCGCTGTTCCTCGGAGAGGCCGTCCACGTCCGGGCCGCTGGCCATGGAGGCAATGGAGGGGAGACCTGGCGCGCGCAACGGCGCAACGCTTCGGCCGACCATGGGATTTACCATGGTGATCATCCACCCATCCCAAAACATCTGTCGTGATTTCTCGCGAAAATTGTGTGGTTGTAATACGTGATCATGAGCTCGACTTCCACGATATTAACATGGTGTAACTATATGAAGATGGTAAATTCATGTAAATTCATGTAAATTCATAAGGCCATACTCGGTCTTCGATGAAGATTTACCATTCTATCATTCCTGGTTCATCCTCACGGGACCTTGAGGAGGCAGCGATGCGAAGAAACCAATGAAAAAGATCGAAAAATGATGAAACCGGTAGGCTCCGGAAGGTCGCCGAGAAATCATGTGGACAGAATCGGATAGAATTGAGAAACAAGCAACCAGATATAACCAGATGTCTCTTCCCTGAGTTCTTCTCCCCTCCAGACTTCATTTAAAAAAAACACCTTTCAGGCCTCATGTTGCGCTTCCACTCTGTTGGGATGATTCTGTACCGGGGCCTGTTTTTCCTTTCACCATGATGTGCGTCAGGACGATGCCTTTCTCCTGTCAGGAGCCGCAAGGGCAGGGGGGTGCCACCAGCCGCGGCCAGTTCTCAGCTCCACACTGCGTCTTTCGCTTCTTGCGCCCGTTCGTATGTCCTGGGACGGTGAATGGATGGCCAGCTTGGGGGGCTGGGCATATTTTGATGCATCTGTAAGAGAAGCTTACCCTTGGGTAAACAACATGGCAATAGGGAATCTTCTATATATATATATACATGATAGATTTTCCAGCAAACCACGTCTCATTGCCGGAGGGTACGAACATGTACGAACTACATTCCTGGCCAATTCATGTTTAACATGTGCCTGGGACGAGCGAAAATGGCCAGGTTTGGTGATGGTCAGGGGAATCCATGGTTGGAACATCCCCGTTCTGAACAACACACCGGCGACGCGATCTGTTCTGAGCCATCCGGGCGCCAGCAAACGAGGGATCCTTGGTGCCAGGCATTAGTCATTGGGGATCACCATCCCAAATCCTAAATATCGTTGAACATATGTATTATATATATATGTATACATACATATCTATATATATATACATAATGTATGTATGCAATAATGTGTATAAAAGAATAAATAAATAAATAAATATATATAAACATACATGAAACAACCAATCAGTAAAGCAAATCATGACTTCAGGTCGTCCAAGAGTTCACCAACTGAACGTCTACCCAGTTTCGGCAGGTTGGCATCACGCGCAGCCCACATGGTCAGCGCCTGCGGCTTGCGGATCGAAACTGGACATGGCTGGTTTCGAGCCGTTGGATCAGCTGGTGCCAGATGACACCCCCACCTTCACATGCATGAGGATCAAACGCACCTAGCAGCAAAGCAGCCAGATGTCGTAGCGAGCGTCTGTCTGGGTCTTCCAGATTCCCGTGCTATCCCGTGCTATATCCATATTTATATATTTATGCATATATATATATACATATAGTACATATAATATATGTTATTTGCTCACCCCAGGGATATTCATACGTATTTTATTTGTGTGTTTGTAGGTTTGTACCGAAATATTGGCCCAACTCCGGGGGCCCAGGCGGTCTGCTTGGTGAGCACCTTGAGCACCAGGTTTCTCTGAAACATTGCGGGAAAAACCCAAGATCCCATTGGGAAATTGGGAAGTCTTCGATTTGAGAGCCCCTTTTTTGATCCAAACAATGTGCCTTTTTTGATTCCCGAAATGGTGGATTTACCAGTGCAGACCAATGGGAAAACACTTCGTAAGTTCAATGGGAATTCCAGGATCCTAAAATGGAGGTACTGTACCATATAAGGCCATATTTTGGGGGTATATCCCCTTACATAGCCCTTACATAGGCCTTATATATGTTAGGTACTTCCAATTTAGGTTCCTGGAATGGCCATTGAAATGGGAAAACACTCCGTAAGTCCAAGTCTTTGGGCATCTCCTCAGGTGTGGGCTGTGGTGTTGAAGACGCCATCCAATCGAAAGATCTGCCCGTTCCTGACCAAAACTAACGGCACCAATGGGATACCACTCATCTAGTCATAATGGGTACATAATTTGGGTGTCTGATGCAGATATAAGATATAATACTACGTGCATATATGGATATATATATATAGATAGATAGATATAGATATAGATATAGATACAGATCTAGGTACATATGCTGTGTATTGATTTAACCAACGGTGAGTGGTGTAAATCTACCACTTAAGAGGTTTATATATCTACCAAACCCATTTGTTGATTCATTGATTTGTCGATTCATTGATTCGTTGATTCGCTGTTTCGCAGGCTCATTGCTTCATGAAATCATTGATTCACCGATTCGTTGAATCGTTGACTCACTGGTTCATTGATTAGTTGTTTCATATCGTTTCATTGCTTCATTGATTCAATGAATCACGTATTCATTGATTGATGCGTTGGTTCATTGTCATTCATTGATTCATTGATTCCCTGTTGATGCACTGATTCGTTGATTCCTTCGTTCATTGATTCAGTGATCAGTGATTCACTGATTCATTGCAGCAATACAATCCATTAATCAATAGGTTCATAGTTTTATTGGTTCATTCAGTCAGTTGTGCATGAATTCTTTCATGTCATTTCATTGGCAATTCCACAACCATTCGCTCATTCGTTGATGCAGCGCACAACTTCAACATTTCGTTGCTTCTGCATTTCAAAAAACACCCAAAACCATCTTTCCTATAGTTGGTTTAAATGGTCGAAATTTCCGCCACAGCACGTGCCGGGCACTACCTGGTATATAAATGTATATGAAAAAAAAAATTATGTTGTCGACCAATCAGAATGTGAGGGGTCCCCAAGCTCGCTCCACCCCGAGAGCCTCGTGTTGGCGAACAAGAAGACATCCAGGACTCCCTTCAAACCCACCCTGAGTGAACCGCCATCGACACATGCGAGGCCATTTTAAGCCTTGAACTGTTGGCATATGGGGGGTTCTGAAGTCCTGGGGGATCCCCAAGTCACCATAGGTTTCAATACTAAGTCATGGTCTAATGACTTGGATGATTTGCGGGCACCCTCCATTTTAGGAAACCTTCGTATTTGCACAGAAGACTCCAGGTTGCACTGACTTTGATGACTTGCAAACACACGGTCAAATTCCAGTGCGGCATCCTGTTGGAATAGAATATGCCAAGTACAAAGACCCATACTGCAGGTCAATATTACGTGTGCATCCTTTTCGCTCGTCTTCCTTCTAAATCGACCTGACCAGATATACCAAATTTCAAAGCTGTCCAAAAATGCTGGGCCCCAGTTTCATTGCTCACCATGAGATTACTCCAGATTCGCCCCTCAGATTTTTCCAGCTCCCTGGGCCCGTGCTCATCGCTGTCATCGTCTCGAGGCACCACATCAACCATCGACCTTGGACCCAGATGCCACGATCGACGGATTTTCCATGGGATTTTCCCATGACTTATGGGGGGTTTCCCATGACTTATGATGGATTTTACATGGTAAAACACATGGGATTTTTGATGTGCAAAATTCATGGGGGGGCTTTCCGGCTTTCGGCTGATCCTTAGGATGGGCCGTGCCCATCGTCGTTCCTCGTGCTCCCCTTTGTCATGCCATGACATGAGGGCGTGAGCTTAATGTAGATCTAGATATAGGTTTAGAATTGGATAGATATAGACTTAAATTTGGATATATTAAAATAGATTTAGATAGATTTAGATATATACAGATATAGATATAGATATAGAAATACGGATATGTATATACATATATATATGCTATATTTTATATAGGTATATATATATATATAGATATGGATATAGAGAGAAAGAGAGGGATTTAGATAGATATAGATAGATTTAGATACATATAGATAGATTTAGACAGATTCTTAGATAGGTATAGAGAGATTTAGATAGATTTAGATGCATACATTACAGATATAAAAGACATAAATAGATTAGATTGGATTACGTTAACTAGATTAGGTTAGATTAGGTTAGATTGGGTTAGATTAGATTAGACGCGAATGAAATTAGATTAGGTTTAGATAGCCAGATAGCTAAACAGCTAGATAGCTAGATAGCTAGGTAGCATGGCTAAATAGCTAGATAGCATGGCTAGATAGCTAGATAGCATAGCTAGGTAGCTAGATAGCATAGCTAGATAGCTAGACAGATAGACAAACGCCAGAATCTCTGGGGGCCAGCCAGCCGCGAATAACCTGGTTCTGTTTCCACCAAATGACGAACGACATCAAAATGGACCATTGAGCTGCAATGTGCAATGGTGTTGCACTGCGGTTGGAGGCATGATCTTTGTCAGCACCAACTTCCACCAAATGACGGACAACATCGAGATGGCCGTTCTGAGCTGCCATGAACAATGGTGTTGTACCCTAAATCTCGGCTTGATCTTTGTCAGCACCAACTTTCACCAAATGACGGACAACATCCAGATGGCCGTTCTGAGCTGCAATGAACAATGGTGTTGCACCCTGATTGTCGGCTTGATCTTTGTCAGCACCAAGTTCCACCAAATGACGGAGAACATCAAGATGGCCATTCTCAGCTGCAATGTAAACTGGTGTTGCACCCTGATTGTCGGCTTGATCTTTGTCAGCACCAACTTCCACCAAATGACGGACAACATCGAGATGGCCGTTCTCAGCTGCAATGAACAACGGTGTTGCACCCTCGTTGTCAGCTTGATCTTTGTCAGCACCAACTTCCACCAAATGACGGACAACATCCAGATGACCGTTGTGAGCTGCAATGTACAATGGCGTTGCACCTTCGTTGTCCGCTTTCTCTTTGTCAGCACCAACTTCCACCAAATGACGGACAACATCCAAATGGCCGTTGTGAGCTGCAATGTACAATGGCGTTGCACCCTCGTTGTCCGCTTTCTCTTTGTCAGCACCAACTTCCACCAAATGATGGACAACATCGAGATGGCCGTTCTGAGCTGCAATGAACAATGGCGTTGCATCCTCATTGTCGATTTGATCTTTGTCAGCACCAAGTTCCACCAAATGACGGACAACATCAAGATGGCCATTCTCAGCCGCAATGTAAACTGGTGTTGCACCGCTGTAGAAGTTATGATCTTTCTCAGCACCAATTTCCACCAAATGACGGACAACATCAAGCTGGCCGTTGTGAGCTGCAATGTACAATGGTGTTGCACCCTCGTTGTCCGCTTTCTCTTTGTCAGCACCAACTTCAACCAAATGACGGACAACATCCAGATGGCCGTGATAAGCTGCAATGTACAATGGCGTTGCACCCTCGCTGTCCGCTTTCTCTTTGTCAGCACCAACTTCCACCAAATGACGGACAATATTAAGATGGCCGTTTGAAGCTGCAATGCACAATGGTGTTGCACCCTGATTGTTCGCTTGATCTTGGTCAGCACCCGCCTCAAGCAACAGCAGCAGGCTTTCAACATGTCCGTGCCTGGTAGCATAGTGCAATGGCGCATTGCCATGTTCATCTGTGGCATTGGGATTGGAGGGGCTGTTGAGGAACTTTTCCAGGGCGATCAAATCATTGTCCACAGATGCAGAGATTACTTGTTGGCTTCGCTGGGCATCAGCCGGATAAAAATCCAAGACCACCATCTGAAGCTTCATTAGAGCGCAAGCAAAAACCTCATCATCCGGGATCTCAGAACCATGTTCGGAAAAGAGTCGTTGCCTGAATCTAGTAACACCAATCCGAAGTGCCAAGGCTTGTTTCACAGCCTTTGCAGTTTTTCCTTCGAATTCCTCCTGGGCAAGGGCCAGAGATGCACCTGACAGGAAACACACCTCCATCGCGCCACTGGCTGAAATGCAAACAACCTGTAGCCAGACATGTATAAATGTGTACAATATTGTACAGTAAGACATTGTAAGATAAATGAAGAAAGCTCTGATGAAACAATGTACAAACTGACTATAGTAGGGAAATAATATATATGTGTGTGTGTGCATATGTATATGTATATATAAAAATATATATGTATACATATACATATACATATATATATATGTGTGTATATGTATATGTATATGCATATGTGTATATATATGTGTGTGTGTGTATGTATATGTATGTGTATGTATATATATGTATGTATGTATGTATGTATGTATCTATCTATCTATCTATCTATGTATACGTGTATACATATATATATATATATATTCAGAATTTCTTGCCATCAACGATCGCACCGTCGACAAGAAACATGAGTGCTTTCCCTGCAGCCAACATCAAATAGACATGACGGTTTTCTACCCAAATTATCTGCGCCAAGAAAAGTCATGAACACGCTTCAAGCAGGTAGTTATAGATTGCCATTTGCAAAAAAAATGTCCCAGTCATGTTGGCTTCAAACATACTTTCCAAACTGACATTGAATTCTCTATATTTAAAAGCCCATGATACCACAATTGCAAGGATGAACATACATGAGCAGCCATTGTGATGTGAACATACAACGGGTGCCACGGACCCTGGCACCCAAGTCACGATCCAGTTGTCTGTCCCCTTTTTTTGTGGCTAAATCTCAAAATGGGATCCCAGCACTGCAACCTTCACCTGCGTCCCGCAGCTCAACCCTCCAAGAGCGGTCCAAACCAAGGTGCTGGTACACTGGATTCCTGCAGATTTCTGGCCTTCCCAAACCTGATCTGCCTGATCTGCCTGACCATTTTTCTTCATCCCCATCAATTGTCCGGGTATGAGTCAAAATTGGCTAGCCCAATAGATGATTAATACTAATAATAGACCAATAGACTAAAAATCTCAAAAATAGACTGACATATCTAGTCCTCCAGGTCGCTCGACCCAATCTCAGCCATTTTCCCGTCCTGGAAGGATCGGTGGTCGGAAAGTGAGGCTGCGTATCGGTCACCTCAGAGGTGACCATAGTGGCGGCGGAAGGAGAAACGACTTTGAAAAAACAAAAAGTTGATGCAAATTTCAAGATGGACCCATACGCAGATATATACATATATATATATCTCTGTGTGTGTTAAAAAATATTAATCAATTAATAATATGCAACACTTCTCGGATCTATAATTGCACCATGGGAATCGCCATGGCCCCCCGGCGATTTGGATGAAGGGCGCCATGCTGTAGCGCTGCACGTTGATGGTGGACGTCGCCACCCTTGACACAATGTCCCTGGCGTAGCCGAGTAGCCGGTTTGGGATGGAAAAAAACCCGCCGGTTGGATATCCCAAAAAAATGGGTTTGGAAGATGATGTTTTTCCCCTGGAAATTGCAAGTTTGATATAGTTCAATCCATTTTTCTGAAGTTTCATGTGAAACTTCTAGCACTTTGTCGTTGAAATTCGGTGAGGATGGTGGGCAAGGCCGGAACGTTGCATGCCAAATGACATATAGGGCTCATCCGGATCGTACGCCACTCGGATGGGCCTGAGCCGATGCTCAAGAGATGATCCCAGACGGAAAATCCACTGTTTACATCATTTACCCTCTGGTAATTTAACAGTTCGCTACTGGAAATGGCCATAGAAATAGTGGATTTAGTGGATTTACCCATTAAAAATGGTGATTTTCCATAGTTATGTTAGTTTACCAGAGGGTAAACTGAATAGACTCACTGAATATGTGAACCTTTCAACAAGTTGGCTTGCCGGCTTCCCAAGTTGGAATACCCGAGCGTACCGCTACCCATACTTATAACAGAGTATAACATATAGCCAATCTATATGGGATAACCCACTAATCGGGGACCTACTCACAAGGGTTATTAACCACCAAGCAATATGATCCTCCAAGGTCCCCTGGGTGTCCCAACAACATGTTCAGGAAATTGCCAATGAGATTGGCCACTGCCTTGGCATCCCAGGTCCAGCAGGTCGTGCCCATGAAATCATTTTTTTTGGGTTGCATCCGCAAGTTTCATATTCCAAAAGAATATTTTTAGGGAAACCAAAAAAAAAAAACAGATACCCTCTGGTAAACATGCACATAGCTATTGAACATGGACCATAGAAATAGGTATTTATAGGTGATTTACCTATTCAAAATAGTGATTGTCCATACAATGTGGGGCCCCCCAGTTATAAGTTGGTGTCTAAACCCCCATAACTATAGTTATAAGTACCATAAACATCCATAAACCATAGTTATTGGAGTTATAAACCAACTTAGCTATCTTGGGGGCCCCACATTGTAGTTTTTTGTTTACCAGGCCGGGGAAATCGACCGAATCCCCTGGGCTCCAGCACCGGCAAGCTCCGCAGGGCGAAGGCCGTGGCCATCTGGGTCGGACCAATGGTGGTGCAGTTCGACCTATATTTGGCGCATATATAACATGATATAGGTTATTAGTATTATCTGGTATTAACCTCCATAACTTGGGATATAACCTCCATAAGTTGGGGATATAACTGTTACAATAACCATAGTTGTAAGGGTTATATCCCAACTTATGGAGGTTAATACCAGAGTTATGCCATGTTATACCGTGTAATACCCATTACTAATCCCAGCTGCCCCCCCAGGACTATGTCCTGAGACCCTGAGCTCTGGACGTAGACCACCCGCTGGTTGCTCATCCTCATCAATGCCAACCTGGGGAAAAGTGTTGGGCTTTGGGGGTAAGGTGTGACTGTTTAGAAATAGAGAGGGAGATGGATAGATAGGCGGAGAGGTAGGTAATTAGGTAGAGATGCAGGTAGGTAGAGGGGTAGGTAGGTAGGTAGGTAGGTGGGTGGGTGGGTGGATGGATGGGTGGATGGATGGATGGATGGATGGGTGAATTAATTAATTAATTAATTGATTAATTAACTAACTATTTAATTAATTAATGAATTAATTAATTAATTGATTGATTGATAAATAGATTCGGTGTATGTATGTATTTGTGTTTACACATTCATTGATATCAATCACAAAGCATGCATAAATCATATGGAATGATAATCACATCGCATGTATATATATATATACACACGTCATATATATATATATATATGTGTGTGTATATATACATATATATATGTGTGTGTGAATATATATATATATATGTGTGTGTGAATATAATGTAAAATATATATGTATAATTCAAAATATAAATAATGTATAATATATATATATATATGTGTGTGTGTGTGTCCCTATATCATTTAATTCTAATTCATTGCGTTTCGTCAACGGAGGCACTTACTGTATCCCCTAAAATTCATGATTTCCCATAGGATACTTCTGGATACTTCTCCCTAATGAGATATCCCTATATGGGTTTGTGTGAAATTGGTGTATAGCCATGAAATTAGCATTAATGGATTCAGAGCTAATTAGCCCATTTTCAAACAATCCCAAAAAACCTCCTTATATGGGGGTTTCCTAACCGGGGGTACCCCTAATTATTTATTTAAAAAAAGGTTTTCCATGATAAACCATCCATTTGGGGATACCCCCATTTATGGAAACCCCCGAACGCATCATCCATCATTCTGAACCATCGTATATCAATGGGTCGCCGAACGCAAAGTTGCACACCACCGAGGCGAAGGGCGTGATGCCTCGGGTTTTAAGCCATGGCGAAGATCCGCTAAGAAGTGACGGTGATGATGGGTTTACCCTCTGGTAAACATACAAAAAACTATGGAAAATCACATTTTTTAATGGGAAAACTCACTATAAATGGCCATTTTCAATAGCGAACTGTTAAATTACCAGAGGGTATCAGTTGATCGTGGAACTCATGGGCTCAACAGAATGCAACAGAAACGAGAAGTATGGGCTTCATGGTGGGTCATCTACATATGCCCAGCGGTATATGTTTGGGCACTGCTCACCGAAAAAATCTAGAGGCAAAAATCACTCAAAATCCTCTCCAGCTCAGCTCCTGACGCGGGTTGCGATCCATCACCCTGAGCTCGGCTTGGGGAAATCCAGTGGAAAAAACAGTGAAAATAGAACCACCAGTTCTCAATAGTTTCACACTGCCTCCAGTCGGATCCAAAGAAATAAACGATAGTAAGCCAGTAAGCCCAAAGATAGAGAAGTGTTTTTAGGATGTTGTGGATAATCTTTCCCTATAATTTGCAGGCGTCCAACTTTTCTATCCATTTGGGGGTTGGCTCCCAATTTCGGAGTCCGAAACCACCAGCAGCTGACCAGGGACGGTTGAATCAGCTCCTGGTCCAAGTCAATCTTGACACCTCAGCCGAGGCATCAGATGGCGTGCCCGAAAATCTAGGGGGGAACCCCCCCAAAAATGGGGGGAAAGCCTCATGTTCCCTCTTAAAGCAGCCCTAAAACTGAGTACAGTACCCTCCATGTTTGAACAAACCCAGGTGATGCAAAAAAGTGAACCCGCAGGGGCAGTGCCGTGCCCATTTTCCACCAGCTCCAAAAGTCAAATCGCATTGACTCTGAGAAGGCGAGAGCGATGGGCGCAGCTACTTAGGCATCAATGGGCGATGCCAAGCAAGTCCCAGTTGCCCTGGTACAGTATGGGTAGTTATCACCATTCTGGTCAGTTGGAAGCCCTATTTTTCTAGCTCACCAAGCCATTTGCATATATATATATATATACATATATATAGTTGAACGGGTTTGATCTCCCGTATCCTTGGCCCCAAAGTAGAAACTAGATGAAGGCTCCATCGTTCAGCACCTGGGTGCCCCAGGCTGTCGCCCACCACATTCCAAACCCGCGGTCGCGGCACGTCCAACGGCAAATCCTCAGGCTTCACGTGGCCAAACCCGGAGATGGATGGTTCAACCATCAAGAACCAGGGTCCTGCCCTCATTTTTTGGAGGTACCCTCTGGTAAACTAACATAGCTATTGAAAATGGCCATTTATATATAGTGGATATTCCCATTAAAAATGGTGATTTTCCATAGCTATGTTAAATTACCAGAGGGTAACCCCTCTTTGTGGTGCATTCGACCGTAGAAGATTTTTAACCACTTTCCAAATCGAGGCAGAACCTCTGCGGAATTTAGACTGAGCTGGTTGTATCTTCCGATAATCAAACCCGGCAATGGTAAATCCCCATGTTTACTATATGAACAAAGGGAAATCCATCATCTGCAAAGCAGGGGTTTACCATGGTTTACCATTGCCAGATTACATTACCCAAGGGTAAGACGAACCGCTACAATAGAATTTGGGCCTCCAATGTCATTGTAATCAAAATCTTGACACGTCTTTACTTTTAGTTTAACTTTTGCATGGCGATCTTGTCATGTGTGGAGCGTCATTGATATAAAAAGAATGTTCGCTGATCGAACAAACTCTCGGCCGCCCCAGGCTCCCCAGCCAACACACTTGGCGGTTGCGAGGTCGTAATTTGGCGGCCCCTGAGCTGGTGAAGTTCAAGACAGCGGAGCGGAGCCATTTCTGATGAACCCAATGGACACCGGGTGCCCCGAGCCAGTATGAAAGGTCGGGTTTCAGCAAGCCTGGGCCGAGGTGGATCGTAGGATGCTGGCAGGCCAGTCATACAAATCAACATCAATGTTCTGTTATGGCTTTGGTTCGTTTGGACAAGGACCACCCAAAAAAAAAGACAAAAAGACAAAAAGATACAAACAAATACATTACCCTCCGGGAATTTGTTAGATAGCTATTGGAAATTGTTTGTTTATAGTTGATTTGGCCCACGCGACACCACCATGATCGGAGGAGCTCCTTCCCGATTCCTTACTTTTAAGTCCCAAGCAATTTAAACAAATTTCCTATTGTGGTTCCGGACAAATTCAATGCAACAAGATTTCTGCTTTCAATGCGTCACATAGGATTTCGCCATCCAACATAGAATCATCGGGCCCCCCGGCACCAACTCCCCCGGCGAACCCCGGAAAATAAATCGAAAAAGGACACCTAGAAAAAACACCCAAGACATGGGAATGGTTGTCGAATCCAGCCTCGGGGCCGATCTTGGTTGTGTCGCTTACCTTGATTTACCTACTGAAAAAGGTTGAAATTGGTCATAGCAAACTGTCAAATTACCAGAGAGTAGTCATTAAACCACCTGTAGGGTTTGCAACTTCCCCACAACATCCCAAGCAGTTGCCAAGCCGCCTCGAGAGAAGAGGGACTTTTGCCAATAGGCGAAGTCTGTGAACTGCACAGGCCTGGGTCAAACAGCTGTGGTGCAATCCAAAATTCGCAGAACACCATCTTGAGTCAAGGTTGCTATTCTGCGGGTTGAATTTGGACATCTTCCATGGTTTTTGGTTGCATCCAAAGGTCAAGGTGGTCGTCTCGAAAGTTGAAGCTAGCTTAGATTGGTTGGCCTCGAATCCATATCATATGTTTGTTAGGCATAGTGTTAGGCAAATCCCCATCCTCATGTTTCCTGAGTTTCCTGCTCCAATTTCCAACATTTGTTGGCTAAATCCCGCGATTTTGTTGGTGGGATCTCCACTTTTTGCTTGTCAAACCACCAATTTTTCGATCCATTTCTTAGGCCACACATCCCACTGAGCCCACTACAGCTTGGGCAACTTTTCCTTCACTGCCTCCTTGGAATATCCATAGTACAGCAGCTCCTGGCATAGTATAGCAGGACTCAGCTATCCGGAAAGCAATAGGATCCACCATCCCCAATTTTGCCATGTTGGTATAAATCATCAACACAAAAAAAGGTGGTTTCTGGCACTTTACTGTGCCATTCCATGGCCGGCCAAGCGCTACCTGCACTTGGAAGGATTCTTGCCAGAAGGTGAGCAGCGCATCGTTATCCGCCAGGATGTGATGCATGTTGACCTCACCCATCACCGGAAAGAGGCCGATGGCCGTGAACTCGATGGAAGCCAAAAGCCATCAAGAATTTATCCTCTGGTAAACGTTTACATAACTATGGAAAATCACCATTTTTAATGGGTAAATCAACTATAAATGGGCCATGTTCAATAGCTATGTTAAATTGGTTTCTCTCCGGAAAACAAAACATTGCAATATACGGCATTCGAAAATCCTCCGTTTGTGGATGATTTTCCCATAAAAAATAAAAAAAACTCTATTTGTTGGAGATGTCCAATTGCCACGTTTGATTGCTGGAAAATATCTTATATCGCCAACAAGAGGCAAGGGTTCCAAAATTCCAGTCCAAAAACTGGTGAGCCGCACATCCCCTACGATAAGAAGTTCAGACACGGAATCCCATGTTCCAAGGATGGAAATGAACATAGATTCCGTGTTTGAAATTATTATCAAAATTATCATAATCCCATATGTTCCAAATCTAAGTGGAAATGAACAATAATGAACATATAAAAAAGATGTTCGACTCAGATTGTTGGATTATGTTGGATTCATATACTATATCCCCATGATACCTCCATATCCAAGAAGAGCACAGAGATGACAAGAACATTGATAGCATCTGTTTTGAAAAATGTTTACCCTCTGGATATTTAACATAGCCATGGAAAATGGTCAATTTATAGATGGTATACCTATTAGAAATGGTGATTTCCCATGGCCATGTTAAATAGCCAGATGGTAAATCTATTCAAAACTGCCCCGACCAGAGATGTCCGTTTCCGGGCGGGATCCGGACGTGCAAGGCCGGGAAGTTGTCGCTGGAGGGCGTGTAAAGCATCCGAATGCCGCTGACACCAAGCCTCGGAGCGGTGCCAGAGATGGAAACTCTTCCAAGAAAGCACCGGAAAAAATTGGCGAAGTATGGCAAAAATGTCCCCTCAAAAAAATATACGAACTCTCAGACTCTCAGAATTATTGACGGAAATCCGGCCAACCAGTGAAAACCAGTCAAAACCAACCAAACTGCGGCACCCACCTCTGCCCTTTGGATCCCTTTGGCGTTTTTTTCAATTCCTGCAGCCGGTCACGAAAGGCCTGGCGCGCCGCCAAGCATTCGGGCGAGGCCATGGCGATGGCGTCACCATCGGGGCTATAACCTTCAAAGCTGGTGCTCATGAAATTCCTGGGCGTCGGTAGCGGAGGGTGGTGTGTGCAAGATGTCATATGCTGGTTCTCTTCCAATCACATCAAGAATGGCCATGTCACCCACTGTTGGAAGATAACAGTTTCCGAGGCAAACCCCTTCTGAAACAACAAGGAAATTTCATTTCATTTCATTTCATGTCTTGCGCCCTGCGTGCCCGTAATGGCACCTCGGCGCAAAGTTCTTTGTAATTTACAGAGCTAGTTTGGTGAGAAAGGTGTGTGAAAATAAGCAGAAGGCCAGAATCAAAAGGGCAACGGGACAAGGATGGCAAACATCAAGATCTTCAGTTCAAAATCTCCACATCATCATCGGAATCGTCGGAAATAACAATAGAAGGAAGTGCTGGCATATTTCTCTGCTGTCTCCTCAAACGCTTACGGAAATACTTTCAGCAGCTTTGGTCACTGACTTCAGCGACAACTTTCTTTTGCAAAAATCCTATCCCTTTTCCCTGGTGATTCACTACGTCATATTCAGCACAACTCTCTTTTCAATATGTTGAATTCTCTGAACAACTTGTCAACAAATCAGGAAAATCTGGCATGGAAACTAGTTGCGAAGTACACCTTGGCAGTGCAACAAAGCATCCGCAGTGAGTTGGGCACGCAAGACCGCATACCGAACATATGGAAGGAATGTATGAAAAACATATGAGCATGTTGTTCATCCCCAAGGACCCTAAGCCCCAAAGACCGTTTGCATGCTTGACAAAACCGTTGTTCTCGTTGTTGCCGGATATACCTGCCAGTCTCTACTTCCAACAAGTGAGAGGACAACAAGAAATTGTTCAGCGAGCGGCCGCAAAGCAAACCCAATGATAGCGCAGTAGGTCGAGGGGATTCAAAAGTAGGAATTGCGTGTACAAGAAAACTGTACTTGCCGGAACGAAGTGTCCTCAACATATCTTGCTCAGCAATGTTGTTACAGCGTTCACGAAAAATTGGAAACCAATGCCTTGCTTGAGGCGCGGTCCAATTCAAAACATTGTCACGTCCTCCCATCTGATCTAACAAGTCAATTTGTTTGAAAAAGGAAACCATATCAAAAGCCCATCCGTTGTCATGCAATCTGCAACATTGCTTCCACTGTTCCCAAGCTGCTTTTTCCATAACATCTCCATGTTCCAGAATAGAAATCAAAAACTTGAAGGCTTGAACTGCTGCCAGGACCCAAATGGAATACAGCCCCACAAGCCATAACAAGGAATTAACAAGGAATTACTGAGCTGCCAATGTCCTGCGTGTTTTCGTGGGAGAAAACTCGAATACTCAGGGGACGAGCAGCAAATACAGCACGTGTCGTGGAGAGTTCTCCGTGTTGGCCATGCCCCAATGAATGATGCGCGAGTCCTTGGTTTTCGCTTCGGATAGGCTGCTGGTGGCTCTCAGTGGTCTGCGACGCTTTAAAACCCAAGCTGTTTTCGTTGGTCCTTTTCCTGGGGTGCAAATGAGCCAATAGAGATGTGGATATGATTTTTGAATGATTTTGATATGGATATGAACACTCATGCCAATTCTTTGAGGAAAAAACTCATACCTTGACGATCATTGACGATCTGTGCTGGCATGCATTTACTGAACAAAAGTGCGCATTCATTTTTCATATGGCCTTTGTGACATAGCTAGTGTAGCCATGTCCGTTCCCAGCCCATATCCCAAAATCTGCCCAGCGTCGTAGAGGATGACGTCGCCCAGCTTCAGGGGCGCGCCCACCAGCAGTTTGGGCAGAGGCTCTTGCGGCAGGTCGTCCACGTGGGGAGCTCGCAGCACGCGCAGCCGCAGCGACTCCTGCTTTGGTTGTTGCAGGACGGTGCCAGCTTTGGAGAAAACATGATGACAACCGTGAAAAACATTGAAAACCTGGGAGGGTTGATGGTGATCTCTGGAATTTTCTGTGAATTTCGTTGTCTGGTTTTGTGAAACCTCGGGTTTAAGCACCCGTTTGATGTGCCTTTCAGCCCTATGAGTTAGGGAGACGGTGGCCAATGGAGCCCCACACAAGCCCGTACAGGGAGTCCCCCACTCAACAGCTGGAGGTTTCATCTTCACCAAGTTGCTGAAGGTTGCAACATTCAGGACCCTATCCCCACAAAAGAAACATGAAGAAATGATTTGAAACCAAGTTTTTGCTGCCCCAGCCATGGGCCGTCGCACCTGCATCTCCGGAATCTGACGCTGGATCTGATACCTCGGCCGCAGCGTTCGCTGGAAGTCTGGGCCAACATTCTCGCTTTCCCCAACAAATGCTGCTGACCAACCCTTGACAGACCCAACGACCCAACCCCTATTCTAGGCCGGGATGCCAGCTCATGAATCTCAGGTCATTCACGTGCGTGATTTCATCCCCAATCTCCAACCCACCTGGGCCACCCTTGGACCCGAAGCCCTTGACCAGCGAACTGCGCTTGCCCAGGGTCAAGTCAACCTGATCCTTGGAAGGCTGCAGGGAGGTATGAAAACCCTTGGCTAATGCAACCTGACCATGGGAAATCTGGCACTTGTGGATTCATATAATTTTTCCCATTGGACATGGGATGTCCTACTCCAAGTTTGGATTGCCAGAATGTACTGTTGCTTGATTTTCTTGAATGAAGTCAGATTTGGCACGGCCCAAACCAACCCCAATTTGTTGTTGATATCATGTTTCGGGCGTATTTATAGAATATTATGGATAGATCAACCATAAACCACAATTATCACAGTTGCTCATGGATTTTCATGTTGTTTACGCCAAAAAAAAGAAGTGCCTACTGTAAAGCCCAAGTCTCCTCCCCAAGGTTTTCAAAGACACACCACAAATAACAAAGAAAAAAAAACTATTGTTGATACAGTACCTCCAATTCATCCCGTTTCCGGTTAAAACATATCCTAGTTTACATAACCTTACCAACTATATCCCCATATGTTTGATGGTGAAAACCCCTATAAATGATAGTTAAATCCCTGTTAAATTGCTATATGTAAGGGGTTCTGGTTACGCTTCATGTCGGGTTCCCGTGCGTTCCCCCCAAACCAAATCTGAAATCATTCCATGATAAATTGGTCGGATATATCCAAAATATACCTTTTGTTTAACCGATTGGATCACCATGTTTTTTCCAAATTGCCATTATCTATGTTTAACTTTCAACTTTGGCTGGATAAATTCCCATGTTCACACACACCCATTTTCTAACCATACCTAAATTGGCTATAAATCCTAACATACACCTACTGAACTGGACATGAATAAAACTTAAAACCCTGTTCAATCACCGTTGAATATTGTTAGCTCTCAATTTTGGCCGGTGAAATCCCAATTTTTCCCGTTCCTGCTCAAAAAACAAGTTTCCGGCAACTAAATGTATTATAATATATATATATATATGTGTGTGTGTGCATGTGTGTATATATTATCTTATATATATATCTCTCTCTCTCCACATATCTTTGGTTGTTATGTTTTAAAAAAAAATATTAAAAACATGTTATACCTATGATTTATTCCAAATATACCAAAAAAATGGTGGCACCCCCTAAACCAAACGCATCAAAAAAGCGTGGGAGCACAACATTGGAACCTCCAGGGCCACCCTATCTCAGCTGAGACCCCCAATGCTGAGGAAACAACAGAATTTACACCCCATCGAATACCGAACGTGATTCAAAAATCAGAGAAAACTATGGTGAACTCAGAGGGGGAGAAAAAAAAAAAACAATTCTCTCCCAGGAATCTGGTGGAAAAACCCAAGTCTCCAGCAACTCTTCGGCCTTCTCCAGCTGCAGCAGCAGCTCGGTTCGCTCCACCCGGCGCCCCGCCGCCAGCCGCTGGCGCGCCGCCTTGGGCGTTTCGCCTTGGCAGCGCCAGCGCCGCACCTGGCGCCCGTAGGCGTCCAGCAGATCCACGTCGTGGTGCGTGGTAACGCCTCCGGGGGGGGTGGCTCAGCATTTGGGACATCGAAAGCTGTGATATTCTGAGATGTAATTCCTTGGAAGTTCACCTCGAAGTTTGGATGAAGTGGATCAAGTGGAAGAATTCTAGGTGATTAACAGGTGTTTTTTTAAGTGAGCAAATGATATTTTTTTTGGAAGCGAAGTGGAAGAAATGGATGTATGAAGTGAAACATGAGGGAATATGGCAAGGTTAGTGGCAAAAAATATGTGATTGAGACAACCTGAAGAGAACGGAAAAACGGTACGGGGGTGAGAAATGAGATATTTATTTCACCTCTCAACAATATGTGTAAAAAGGATTGTAGCTTTCATCAACAAACACGCAAGTATGTGACTGGGTGTGGACGCAGGCGGGTGGTAACCGTGGTAATCAAATAACAATGGTGAATTGAAGCAACCTAGGCTGAGAAATCAATCGAAATCATACCAACCTTTGTATTCCTTGGGTATTATTTTAAAAGTGCTATGATTTCAGCGTTAGATGTGAATTTCAGGGTACTTTATTCCAGTGGAGTTCAGTGGGTTGCAACACCCCAGGTACAAAGGGAGATAAATTTGGTACACCTCAGGCAACCTTGTGGTAGACAACATATAGAGCTTCATTGGGATGGTGGCTCATGGGATTTAACGAAGATAAATCCCATAGGGATATTGAAGGGAAATTTCCTCCGGTGTCATCAAACATGGCCTGGAAAATCAGGTAGAGAAATAAATAAGCTACTCTAATCATCAATTTTTTCGAAGGAAAACATCAAACTAAATGGTGCATTTTCCGGCAAGCCATGTGTGATTACTAGAAAGTAAATCAGCATTTACCATCCCCATTCTTGTTGAATTCCTCTGAATCACCAGAACATCCCACAAAATCCCACTCAATCACCATTAAATCCCATTGATTCCCATAAAAATCACCATAAGATCACCATGAAGATCACAAAAACAACTCCCCACAGCATGCAACGCTTCCCTCTCCATGTCGGGAGGCAGAAGGACAGCGGCGCGAAGGTCTCTCGAAGCTGCTGTAAGGGAACGTGCACTGAGAGGCTGCCCTCGTCTTCCTGGGGAAGGGATGGCAGCTGATTCTACGGTTTTTTGGGGAGAAACAAAAAATCCATTTTGTGGAAGATGGTGATGCAAACGATGTGTCTGTTTTTTTTGGGGGGCTGGATTGGTTTCAAGTGGTTTTTTTTTTCCACCGGTTAACGGTTTCCCCAGGCCCGTCCCTCCACACCCAGCGTTCCCCGCGGTCCGTATCGGTGTGCGCGTTCTGCGCTTCCGTCGCCGGGTCCACGGTGATGACCAAGGCGCTCTCCAGCACGAAGTCATCGCCCAAATACTCACAGAGAGGCTGCAGCAGGATGTTGGAGTCACCCAGCCTTAGTGTCATTCATTGGCTACTAGATGCTAACTAATATATATATATATATTTATATTTATATTATCTGTATGTATGTGTATATGTATATCTCTCTCGCTATACTTATATATATATTTATTTATTTATAATATATATAAGTGAGTTGGTGAACTATCCAGTTATAGTCGACTATATCACTTTACTTACCCTACGTCCTACGTATTTGTAACTGGGATGATTCAGCCAGACCCCCGGGGGTCGGTAATCTTTCACTGGAATGTTTGAAGAGAAAATCTGGATGGAAACTCATGGATTTTGACACGCAAATCTTGGGCTCAACTCAGTGAATTGGTGTTCGGATAAATCCACCAGTCTTGTTAGTTAAACCGGCTAAGTAAAGTGATATAGTCCAGCTATAACTGGATATAGTCCAAATATATGATATAGCTATGATCGCCATTATATAGGCTCCCATTAATCATCATCAAATCTTCATTCAATCCCATTGAATCACCCATTGTGTCCAACCGATCCTCAAGTCCCATTAAACCACCAACCATTCAAAAATTCCCATTCGACCAACATTAAATCAACATTAAATCATCTACTGGTTGGTGGTAAACCTACCCCTCTGAAAAATATGAGTTCGTCAGCTGGGATGATGACATTCCCAACTGAATGGAAAAATCAAAGTCATGTTCCAAACCACCAACCAGTGGTTGGTCGCGCCACAAGGGCAGCGTCGCGAAGGCTTCTCGGAACGGCAGGTGCACGGCCTTGCGCTGCGCCCGGAGCTCCCCGAACTCGAAGGTCTTTGCCTCGGAGAGCGGTGACGAAACCCCGGGGAAAACGTGGTGATTTAACGGTGATTTCACGGGAGATTTAACCTCCCAAACCATAAGAAAACCATCGACTTAACCAAGAAAAATTGTGATTTCATAGCGGTTGAATGGGAATTTAACGGTGATTTAATGCTGATTTAGGGGGGATTTCATGGGGCTTGAATGGTGATTTAATGGGATTTGATGGTGGTTGATAGGAATTACCCTCCGCTACACCAACAGTTTGCTATGGAAAATCACCAGTTGAATAGCAAAATCAACTATAAATGGACCATTTCCAATAGCTATGTAATAAATTACCGGAGGATATGTTCAACTTCCAATTCCTGGTTGGTTCATGTTGGTTCTTAAAGCTCCTTGAAGTGCCGATCTTTGGAAAACAATGATGAAACGATGATGATGATGATGATGATGATGATGATGACGATGATTGTTGACCCACATGTTTTCGGTGTTGAGAAGGGAAATGGACGAAAATTTGCGATATCACCATAAACTCCGATAAACATCAAGAATCCTGAAGTACAACCAGCTGGAAGAATTTGAAGGGTGTTTGTTTGTCTCAAATCTAAACTGGAGTAGCATCCTGGAAATGCTTGAAAAGCTCTGCAACAACACCTGGAACCCAACAACAGGCCAACGACCAAGTGTGGACCTTTCTTGGAGTCTGATGGTTTCATCCATGGGAAGCCACTTTGGCCATGCGGCTTCATCATCGGTGAGTGTTGTGAAGGCATTTCTGAGCTCTGTCAGGAGCTCTTCCGAAAAAACGCCTGATCTCCATGGCGAGGTTGCAGCAACTTCAGTAGCGACAGAGAAAATCATCCCAAAAAGCGGCGACAGATTCCATTGGAAAATGGTGAAGAAAAATTGACGAGTCGCTTGGCACTATTCATGAATGCTTCTATACCGCTAGTCTATGGGTTGAATCAACATCGCTATTACCCTTGTCTCCATGTACCCTTCATTACATCCCCTGTGGATAGTGAGACCCCCACCATGACGTGACCAGGTCTTTTCATGGCGACATGGCTCGTCCAACCTCGGAGGCTCGCCACTCCCAGGCTGTACAAAGTCTCATCGGCTCCTTCCTGGATGGTCTCCTCCTGCAACCAGGGCCTCAGCTTCCGCCAGATCTGCAGGAAACAAAAGGGTTGAAAAAAACCCATTTTAGTGTAGGGGAAACCGCCGAAAAGATGTTCCGAACGCCAATTTGGGGAACATACGCCCATCTGTACACACAAATCTGATCCAATATGATCCATTCGCATCCATTCTTTCGGACTAACAACTTTTTTCTTTCGTCTGGGAGATGCCAAATCAAGCTTACTAGTTGATGCTGCAGTGCCGCAGATGCACGGATCTTGAAAAATCTCTGGGAGTCTCACAACTCTAGGCCCCATGCCTTCCTCTACCTTCCTGTAATCATCTAAACCTGGTCCAAGTGTCACAGACAAGCTGCCTGCAGCTCTGCCCAGCCGGGCAGGGTGCGGCTGGCGCACCACTGGAAGGCATCGTGGGGTGATCCAGGAGGGACCAAGGCCCCACAAGAGACCAGCACTCAGCAGTAGGCGTGCCATGGCAAGGCCGGGCAGGGTGATCCAAAATAGATGCACGGGTTGAAAATGGTGATTTAAGCCACAAGAGTTGGGACTTAAGTGGCTATACTGTGGGTATTCGGTATTCAATGGGGATATCATGGGGTATGCCCCCCAAAAAAAAACAGCCCGTTGCAACGTGGAAAATGATTATTCATCATGAGGGCTTTGGGCACCCTTTGCAGACAAACCCATTTGGGTTGAGGATAACCAGGTGAGGATGCTAATTTAATTGAGTCAAAGGTAGAGGGGGAGGGGGGAGAGAGATTTCTGACCGTTTGAAGCTGCTTGGATAGTGGTCGATGGCAGCGCCTCTCAGCAACACAAGCGCTGTTGAGGCCGTGGATGATTGGTTATTGGGGATAAACGCTTTTGGGTAGGAAGGTTCCGATTTGTTCAACACTTCTAGAAATCAAAGCGGCTCCAATCTACAAACCCTTCTTTTTTTATGCGTTTCACAGCACCTCTGCTCTAGTGTCTGGACCACCCCCAACATGGAGGGGTCTCTGACAAGCCATACACTGCTGGTGCCTGGCCAGGTCTGTCACCATAGTCCCCAAGTTCTTTGGTCAAGGGGTAGCCATTCCATGCCATTCCCACCTGCTGGGATTTATAACCAACAAGAACATCATGCCAACTCATGGTATACTAATGCGTGCATCTTATGAATCTTCTGCTTCGGTGGTGATTCTATGACCACCCATTCTATGGGTGGTCAAATCACCACCCCGCAACTAACATAGACCATCATAGACCCTGCCATCAGTTAGGCGTTGGAAGACTACTTTCCTCTAAAAATTGCGGATTCTCAGGGGGATGGTAAATCACATTGAATGGTTTTTTCAGGTTGGTTTAGTCCCTATGATGTTTGATCGATCCCCATTTTGATGGTTCAATCCCCATTTTTCATGGTGAAATCCCCGTCTTTGATAGTAAAATCAACCTGTTTCATGGTGAAATCACCCTGGTTTCCAAATCACCGATCTTTATGGTGAAAATTCCCATGGAAATTCCATATGTTTATGGTGAACATGGAAATTCTCGGCATCTCCCAGGTGATGGCCGCCCAACTCGGCCAGCGGGCCGGTGTGGCGTCGCGTAGTCCATGCTGGCGATGGCTTGCGCGTGCCCTTCGTCCGCAACGGCCAGGGCGTAGAAACCTGGATAAACATCAGCAGAGCCTCTCTGAGGAGCCAGCTTGTGGTGATTTAATGGCAGTTTGATGATGATTTAGTGGGATTGACTGGTGATTTAGTGGGATTGAATGGTGATTTAGTGGGATTCTATGGCGATTTCATAGTGATATATACTGGGGTAAATGCGGATGAAACCAACGATCTGGAAATACAATGCGGATATATGTGTCTTGGTCCTTGGTCAATACATGGTAGATGGTTTATGGTCATAAATCCCTCTCATGGGCATATGAATCCTTATTAATGGATTGACAACCATTCCCCAACATGGATGATAATCCAACTGTTGACGCGGGGCTCGTGAGTCACGGAGACTGCACAATCTTCAATCCCAAGCACTGGTGGTGGGCAAAGAAGAGGAATGGACACAGCTAATTAAAACATGCACACACCTAATCATGGCACCTAAACTGTCAACCTGGATCCATAAACCCTAGTTGATGAATTCAGGGGTTTCCCTGAATAGTGAAAGTTTGCCCCCCAAATCAACAGCGCAGGGGGTGGGGTCTTAATCCAATCTTGACATTCACTTGTTTAACGGGTAAGCCTCTGCGATTTTGCCGATTGATCTGTGTCCACAGAGTTTCACCTGCTGGATCTTCAAAGTGAGGCCCTTCGGCTCGGCAGAAATTCCTCATCACCAACTTCTTCGGGTCCACCTTCAATTTCAAGGGTATCAAGTCCTTCACCAACTTGTCTTTCAGTCGTCGGCTTTATGAGTGTCCTATGATTCTTTTCAGATGTTTCTCTCTGTTTCCACGTGTTTTTTCCACATGAGCATCGTGTTCAAAAGCCTCTGTCGTCCCTAAAAATATTGGCTTGTCAAGAACATGCTTCCCAGCTGATAGATTGTGATTTTCCCCAAGATATTGGATAGTATAATTCCCAAACTAATTGTCAATGTGTCACCCAACATGTATATATTTATATCATATATCATATATCCCACCATAGAAATACATATGATATTATCATTCTATATTTGCATTTCTCTTGCAGTAATGGATTATAGAATCCATATGTTTCTATACCGTGGATGGTTGCGAAATCCTGCACCACCAAAAGGATTGTTGACATAAATAAGGGAATAAACCGCCTTTCAACTGCTGCAGCACTTCTTCCATCCACTGATGGTTAATGCCCATATCCCATCTTTTATGATATTTTATGTCATCAATATCTATGGATCACATTTACCATCATTTACCTTTAGCCGTTCTATACTGTACCATTCTATCTCCATTCCGAGCGTTTCTTGGTGAAGTTTCCGCCTCCCAAGTGGTGGCGCATTACCTGCCATGTCTGGGGATTTCAAAATGAAAACTCCGGGAGAACGTAGGGATCATGCAGGGATAAAATTAAGGATAAAATTAAGGATAAATGATAGATTTACCCTCTGGTAAACTAACATAGCTATGGAAAATCACCATTTTTCATGGGAAAATCCACTATTTCTATGGCCGTTTTCAATAGCTATTTTGACATAACCAGAGGGTATATAGATTTCACCATGCTAATGATGGATGACGTAGGGATCATATGTCTACAGGGCCGTTGGGCCGTTGAGACACATGACACAACTTGGTTATCGTTTGGGTTTCTGGGGATTCATAGGATTTTATAGGCCATAAGCCAACTTATAACTCAGGGGGGGGGCCTCACTTTGGGATTTCACTGGTTATACATGAGATGCATGGGGATTCAATGGGATTCAAGCCACAAACGTGGTGATTCAATGGAATATACCGTATTACGCAGATATAACAGGAACATAATGAGAATAAGATTTGGAGATAAAGGGGTACATGCCCAAGAAATACTAAGAAACTATTGTAAATTGTATTATATGATATGTGCGTGCGTCTGGAAATTGGTTGTTTACCCCATACAAAATGCTGCTGAGGGAAAACCCATGTTCCTAAACAGTCGATGGAATGGGATGGAAAATCCAGCACCAAATTCGGAACTTCCACGCCATATGCCAGAGACCCCATGTTTCTGGATAAAATTCATCCACAATTCATGAACCTGAAATGATTAAAGCTGTATTGGGAGAGTTATCCCTAACCATCAAACCAGTGAGAGAGAACAGTGGTCCTTCAAATTTTTTCAAACGTCCTAAGGGCCACCCCAACTTTGGCCGCTCAATGGTTTGGGGGTTGTCAAAAAAATGTGATCATCATTGCCCCGTTGGAGTTTGCTGGGGGTATTCCCCATGTGCCCACTCACAGAAAAAGATCACATCTTGTTGGTGGAAGTTGGTGGTATATCCCATTATAACCCAATCTGGTTGGTGGTTTCAACCCCTCTGAAAAATGGACTTCGTCAGTTGGGATGATTATTCCATTCCCAAGACATGGAGAACAAAATAATCATCTTCCAAACCACCAACCAGCAATAACATCCCTATATGCAACGTAACCATCACCGTGGAAAATCCTCATTTTTCGGGGTGAAATCCGTGAGAGCCACGCCTTGCGGGTGGGATTCGTGGGGTCCTCTAGGCTAAAGGCGCTCCGAAGCACTTCGTGGCGTTCCAACTCGGATGCGGTGAAACGTTCTGCGAAAAGATTGGTGATGTTTTTCTGGATTTCACTATTTCACATCACAAAGGGGTGCAGATGGGGCTATTTTCATAACTTCCATAAGTTGGGATATTTATAGTTGGGATATCCATATAGTTGGATCACTTAGTGATCATATGGTGACTCCACTAGTTGTAAACCACTGCATATGGTTTTACTTTGATCCTTACAACTATAGTTATAAAACCATAAAAATCACCCACAAAAACTAGTGAAACTGCACCCCCAAGGGATCTGTCCACCCTGCATGTCCACAAACCCCTAGGCTATTTTTTATTAGGAGTCAGATTATTTGGGGAGCACCCTCTAGTTGATAAACCATGGTTTACTAATCCAGAGTTGACATTATATAATACATCAGTAGTGACATCGTGGAAGATCATGGGTGAGGACTTCCTAACTATCAACACATGGTGGATCAACCAAGTGACCGCAGTGTACCGGGTTTACCCTTGAGGTGTCATGCTGAGGTTCCCGTCGATGATGCGATGAGCAGTTTCGCACCTCGTGGCCCCATTGGGGGTACCCGGGTACCCATCATCCAGTCGTGACCATGACCTCCATGACTTAGGATTGACACAACCATGGCCTTCAAGTGGCCTTAAGAAAACCCCACATGTCCTTTCCCAACAACATCCCGCAGCCTTTTTCTATGCCGCTCTCTCACTGCAGTGGGATGCCCTGACGACAGGACCAGAATATACCCTGCTTCGATGCCACGAAAGTGGGCCGGCAGTTCGTTGAAGTGTCAACCAAATTGCAGCACTACACGAATGCTAATAATGCCTAAAAATATCAACTGGTTGCTGGTTTTTTGACTAACATCCCAAAAATCTGCTCGTCATCTCAACCAATCATCTCTTTTTTGGGGGGTGAAAGACAATAATAATATATAGTAAATCATTGAAACCCTCAACCAGTACTGTAAAAGCGAAAGAATTCTGTAGAGCTTCCCACGACTCGGCTGCGTTCCTTAGCACAGCCAGTGTGGTGCAAAAGACTGTAGGATGCCACGAAGCCAGTGCCATCCAGTTCCACAGCGCAGCCAGAGTACCCTCTGGTAATTTAACATGGTGATTTTCCCATTGAAAATGACCATTTATAGTGGATTTTCCCATTGAAAATGGTGATTTTCTATAGTTATGTTAGTTTACCAGAGGGTAACAGGTATACCCTGACCACAGGAGTCAAGTACTTTCTGGGCCAGGCTGCGCACTCTTATGGGAAGATGTCACAGACGTGCCCACTACTTCATTTCACTGGACAATGGAAAACTTCCTCCTTCAACAATTGAATAGCGTGCTGCAATGAGGACAAACATGCATGTACATTTCTCGTGGTTTTCCATTGCCATGACAGTTTGATGGAAAATGATGGAAAATACACACAATGCCTACAGCTAATTATCCCACAGGGTCATTGAGTCAACTTGATCGAAGAGAGACTCCAAATTGACCGAAAAGTCAGGAAGTGCGAGGTTCTCCGCTGTGCGGGGGTTGGTCTTCGCTCCGCTACCCCAGCTCTCGGTTGCATAGGGGGCAACTGAATCGTCCCGACACCAACCATTCCTGAACACATTTCCTATGAAAGCGATGGCCACAAGCTGTCTCTGCCAGTTCGTCGAAGCAATCCTTCCTGGCGGTTTGAACCCACCCAGGCGTAAAACTACCATGCGCCCTGCTATCGGATAGCGATAGCCAAATTATCCAAACTCCAGGTCGAAGAGTATGACCTTTTTTCACTTTTTTCAAGTCACATGGGTGAGCTCACAAGGGCGTTAATATGCGTTAATATCAAACACTACTAAGAGATACCGCACTAGTTTTTTAAGAGAGTGGCAGGCTGTGGGAGTGCGCTGTTTCATAAGTTTTGATCATCACACACACACCCCAAAAAAAAAAGGAGGGGGGTGTTGTGAGCGCCATTTTTTCTTTCCAAACCCTGTCTTTCCAAAACGTGAGAACCATCAACAAATGATTCCTGATTGGGTTGAGCCTAGTCTTCCCAGCTATCCCCGTGCCAAGGTAACCCCCATCTTTCCAATCCCAATGGTTCCCAGTCCATCAGGTCTATGGTCCTGTTGGCCCTCACTTCTGACACACCTGCCTTCTGGAAGCCCAACCAGCCATGGAACCCCCGATAGAAGTATCTATCTACAGATGATTTTCCATTGCCAGGTTTCTCTTCCAGAGGTGAGAGGCCCAAGTGTCCGAGTTGCCACTTCAACTCCCATTGTGCAATTTAAATTTCCATATTTGCCGGTTCAACATGCTTCAACACGGCTAAAGATATAGGAAAAAACCCGTCCATGGCCCCAAACCATCGCTATCGCCCAAGGCTCAACTCCATGGCCTCATAGCAGATGGAACAGTCCTCCGATTCCCCTGCGACGGCCATGGCTGGACGCAGAATGCCCTTGGCAAAGAGCGCCCGGCGATGCTTCAGTGTGGAGGTTTCGAAGATCATCTGCTGCTCGGGCGTCAGCTGCTGAGCAATGAGCACCTGCCCAAAAACCAGGCGCGCCAGGCGCGCCAGGGCGACCCGCGCCGGGACCAGGGGTTGAGATGGCGATAGGTAAAACATTGAACTGTAACCAAATGGATCATAGTTGTCATAGCTATGGAGGGTGATGGATTAAAAAAACAACGAGATGAAACAAATTGGGAAAAAAAAAACAGCAACAAAACGGAGATTCGCTGAAAGATCATCAGTGTGATATCAGTGTGGAATGGTGTGTCATGAATGAGACTCTTGGAATCCAGAATCAGGGATGGCCCAAAACGGATTTCTCAATCTCAAGCGTGCCTCGATCATCCTCAAGACACAAACAATGTAACCTTCACGTTCACGTTATCCACTCGCGCGGGGAGGACAATCCAAGATACCCAAGCTTACATCCCCAGCTTTGATAGATTCCCGCCGTTTCATAGTCAATATTTTGTTCACACAGAATTTTTGCTGACTAAAATCACTGTTTCTGATGTTTGCGCATTTACATTCCCGCTTTTTGGATGATTTGCTTACGTTCCTCCCGTTTTGAAAAACCTCACCTCCACCCGCGAAGCATCTTTGAACTCCTGAAGCATGGCCATGGTTTCTGTGGTTCCGTTCACCTCCAAAATGGCTTGGCCTGGTCGAATCTGACCTCAGGACTCATGATTAAACCCGACTCAACCAGCTTTGGAAGTGTTTTTGCCATGTATAATATGACAGTTGTATTTGCATGGATGGTCTGTGGATGCATGGATGCATGGATGCATGGATGGTCTGTCTGTCTGTCTGTCTGTCTGTCTGTCTGTCTGTCTGTTGGTTGGCCGGTCTCTCTATCTAACGGATGTACATATGTATGTACATATGTATGTACATATGTATGTACATATGTATGTGTGCATTCACGTGTTTATGTACTGTGTGTAATTGTAGTGAGGTTGGGAACCAAAAGGAACAAGATTCACCAACATGAGGATGGAATCAACAAAAACAGAGATGTGACTAACACCCTTTGGGATGTAACTGAAGCAAAGAAAAACCACTGGTTGGTAGTTGAGGCACCTGAAAAACATGCTCGTCAACCTGAACGACCTTCATAGGTGTTTAAAGAATCGATAGTGCAAAGTACCTAACAAAAATCGAGGAGCCATCTGTAACCTGAATAGCCACAGAAGCTAAAAGACTACGGCACTTGAAAGCTAAGATGGGTATTCTTTAATGGTTTATCATTATTCTTTATTTTAATGACCATTTTCGGGGCACCTCCGATTTTCGGACCCATTCAAATCATTATTCTTGATGATATCCCCATCAAAAAATCCCCCATGACATGACCCCAAAAAAAAAACGCCATGGAAATCACCCTGGAAATCACCCTAACTCCACCATCTCAGCCTTGAACCGCTCTCCCCCCCAACCCATCCCTGTCCGACGTTGCGGTTGCGCACGGTTCCATTGCACCACTGGATGGCAGGACTTTACATCCACCAGGATCAGACCTTGCACTGCCTGGTGTCCACCAACCACCAAGCCGAAATTGGAGCCCTCCGACCTTGAAACTGGGCTGGATTTTAGGGGAAAGAAATGGTCAAACAAAACCTGAACCATTTTGAATGATTGTATTGAAACATTTTGAGGGTTGAACTGGTGGATTTGTTGGGACCCATGGCTGATGGGAGCCCTATTCCCACACTCCCATGCTACTCCCATAGAAATCTGCGCCTGCCAGGGCACTGTTCACAATCTGCCCTTATTATGCTTCCATCATTCCCAGACTTGGTTCTAGGGGAAATTCACCTGTATGTATGTAATGTAATGTAATGTAAATGTAAATGTAAATGTAAATGTAAAGTAATGTAATGTAATGTAATGTAAATGTAAATGTAAATGTAAATGTAAAGTAATGTAATGTAATGTAATGTGATGTAATGTAATGTAATGTACTGTAATGTAATGTAATGTAGTGTAATGTAATGTAATGTAATGTAAATGTAAATGTAAATGTAAAGTAATATAATGTAATGTAATGTAATGTAGTGTAATGTAATGTAATGTAAATGTAAATGTAAATGTAAATTTAAAGTAATGTACGGTAATGTAATGTAATGTAGTGTAATGTAATGTAATGTAGTGTAATGTAATGTAATGTAAATGTAAATGTAAATGTAAATGTAAATGTAACTGCAAATGTAAATGTAAAGTAATGTAATGTAATGTAAATGTAAATGAAAATGTAAATGTAAATGTAATGTAATGTAATGTGATGTAATGTAATGTAGTGTAATGTAATGTACTGTAATGTAATGTAATGTAGTGTAATGTAATGCAATGCAATGTAATGTAATGTAATGTAGTGTAATGTAATGTAATGTAGTGTAGTGTAATGTAATGTAATGTAGTGTAATGTAATGTAATGTATGGATGGGTGGATGGATGTATGCATGTATGCATGCATGCATGTATGTATCCATCTATCTATCTATCTATCTATCTATCTATGGATCTATGGATCTGTGTATCTATGTATGCATGCATGCATGCATGAATGTGTGTATGTGTGTATGTGTGCATGTGTGTACTGTAATGTTATGTTATGTAATGTTATGTTATTTATGTTATGTAAGTAATGTAATGTTATGCAATGTTATGTAATGTTATGTAATGTTATGTGATGTTATGTGATGTTGTGTGATGTTATGTAGTGTCTGTCTGTATGTATGTATGCCCGTTTGCTGAGTGTGAACTCATGCTTTTCCGGCAAATTCTCCAAAACTTAACCAACTCCTGCCAAAATCATAGCCTGGCGACTCCAGTACCACCCAATGAAGCCCTCTGTGACGTTGCCTTCGTGGAATGAAGCAACTGAGACACGACATGGCCAACACTTTTTCCTTTTGTGGAGCCGACAAGGCGCCGTGTCAAGGTTGAACGCTCAATGTGGACATGGGGGCACTCAATCAACCATAGACAACCCAGTGGTCTTGGGCACCCAACCTTGGCCTTTGCCCAAATGTTGACTTGCTCCGCACACCCCAGATGCAAGGAAGGAAAATTGGCGAAGTACGGAGGTAAGCCACTGTCCCCTTTTGTGGTAAAAAATTCTGATCTACAACAGGTTGGAGCAAGCCGATGTTGATGGTTTTTATTAAAATTGAATGAGTGTTTTGAATGAACTGCCTGGTGCGGTCACGAGTCGGGCAGAAAGTCCTGGGAGGTCCGTCCTGGGCACCCCTGCTGCTCCACCGTCAAGGGCACCCGACTGCGCTGGGTGTTGGAGAGATTGTAGGCCTCAGATCCATCCCATCCACCCAGTGCTACGGCCGTGAATGATCAAATGGATGCCACGGCCTTTAAATGAAAATATGGGGAAAATATGGGAAAATCTAATTTATACTAGCGAAAATATGGGGAAAATCCCCTATTCTCATATCTGAAGGTCCTCCAACTGAACGGAACTCCAAACCAAACCACCATCCCATCCACGTGAAGAGTAGTCATTCACTACCGTCACTACCGCCGTGGGATCCCTAATGATCCAAGAACCATGGCCCAATGTCATAAACCACCACTCTTGGTGATGGTTTAGGGCATTGGTTTTACCTCTTTCTATGCCGTTAAGAGCCCATGGTGCCCATAATTCTTATTATATCTTATTATATCATTCCAATTCTGGATTCAAAACGCACCTTCATCTGGGAGTTTCTTAAAATCAAAGATCTATCCCCAAGTCACCATACGTTTCAATACGAAAATGGTCTAATGTGGGTAAAACAATAAAACACCACCCCATGTTTCATGATTTATACCATCCATAAGAATTGTGATTTTGGGGATGGTTTATGATTGTTTTAACCGCATTAATCATTTCAGATGATTTGGGGCCCCACAGGAAACCTCTCCCATCTCCAGGCTCTGGCCATGCTCCGCGGGTCTGTCACGAAGAGCCGAAGCATCTGCTCCTCGTTGAAGGTCAGGGGATGCGCCAAGCCTCGACAAAATGAGCCGAAACTTAGTAGTTCACCCATACAAGGTGGTGCCCCATAGTTAGCTAAGTTGGTTTATAACTCCAATAACTATGGTTTATGGTACTTATAACTATAGTTACTGGGGCTTATAAACCAACTTATAACTGGGGGGCACCACATTGTAGGTTTCATGCTGATTTAGTGGCAAAAACATAGGCTTTCCATCGGAGTTCACCCTGACTTCTTTGATAGGGAAATGATGGGAATTTCAAGGAGCAAACATTTTTCTAGTGGTGGCTTAATGGCGTTTTTCACGAGAAAAATTGATTTCTTTTCTTAATTGTCAGATTGATTATATTTCTATAGGATTGACAAATAGTTGAAATATGTTGAAATGGTTTGGAAATTCACCAACTATTAGAGTTATATAAGGGGGATTGAAATGATATGTAAACCAACTTCATTTGGATTGAAGATTAGGGACTTCACCGGCCAAACTTGGGAGACTTGGCCTTTTTTTCATGGTGATTTAATTGGAGTTCAATAGGTACTTGCAACTAAATGTAACTAAGTTAATAACCCTGGTTAGTAAGCCCCCTAAGTAGGTTATTCCATTTATAACCGAGTTATTGGGAGTTAAGCGTGGTTATATATCTCTCTGGTGATTTAATAAGAATCTAATGGGCTGGAGAAATAATGCAATTTGTTGAAGATTGGGTTTAGAGTCTAGAGTTCATAAATTAAGAAAATTGGTGCAGGTTTCAAGAATTGGGTTTCGAACAAGGGATTTGGAACACGTTATCTTGCTGGCTATTCAGAAACATAGGGGTCCCGCAAAAGATGCCGAAGAGTGTTTCCTTAGGCATCCTTCATATGTTCTAGGTGTCCAACTTCTATCTATTTTGGGGTTGTTATAACATAGCTCTGACAAGAATAGCATACTTGTTTAGGCCTTGACCAAACATACCATATTATGCTGATCAACCAGAAAATACCCAGCCAAAAGTGGGAGTTTCATGGTCTTGACGATCAGGTTCCTCAAGATCAAATCCTAGGGCCCAAGGCTTCAGGCTTGATCTGATCGATACACCCAAGATTGCATCCATGTAGGTTGGAGGATCTATGTGATGAGTCCCCAAGATTGATATCACTGCCTAGGCATCCCATTTCTAGTGCCGGCAAACCCATCAGGATGTCCCACCTGGCATCAGCCGGATGGAGGGCACCGAGACAATGGTCTGCCTTGGGTCCTTTCGCTTGGACCTTTGGAGCCTTGCACGGCACCCGGAGATTTCACCAAAACTGGGAGAAATGACTGCTGGAGCTACACATCGGATATGATCTCAATTCGGATCATCCTGGGCTTGAAAATGGTTTAACCAAAACCACCGGCAGATAATTTTAAAATTAACTATGACTAAGTGGGTGGGCTTCCCACTTAATCAGAGAAGTTGGGAAGTAAAAACGCTCGCAAAAAAACAGGTCTGTTTGATGTCCATGGCGGCCATGGGTTTTCAGCGGTTTAACCAATGGAAAATCCATGGAAAATCCACCTGTGTCAGGAGGGCACTGGGCTCCTGGCTGGTGCTCATCTAAGTCATCGTCGCTAAAGAGTGAGGACACAGGGAGGATGGGCATGACCTCACCAATACGTACCGCTTGGTAAATGGGCATGGCATCACGAATTTTTGTTGATCACAACAACGTCAAAAAAAAAATCAACCAAACAACAATCAGAGTAGTATAACATAGTATTATATATATAATATATATAACCCCATTTATACACCAACAGTGCTGTTTTCAATGGCCCATTTCCCTCCCCAGGGGATGTTGTAAAACACAACGGAGACCGTGGCAGGGGCCCCGGACATCGAAGCTGCTCCGAGGAGGCTGATAGATGTAGGGACTCAGCGATGGGAGCATTTGTTTATAGGAAACCCATGGGAAAACATAGGAAAACCATGGGAAAAACTATGGGAAAACACATAGGCACATAGGAAAATGAAAAATGGAGCTGATGATGACAAACCCAAATGGTACCCCACTCTTTTGGGGGTAAAACCAGTTCAAAGTGCTAATCAGATTAGGGTTTGAAATGTGCAGTGCTGACCCAAATAAACAGGAACTTGAACCATCAAAATGAACATGCAGGTGCAAGAAATGAGGGTGTTGGAATCTGAAGTCTTCTCTTCCCCGCAATGTGAAACACAGAAATTGGGGTTTCGTAGAGAATTTACACATATTTGGGGCCACATACATTTTAAAAAAAAAAGTCGGGGGGTGGGACCACGGTGGGATGAATGATTATCTCACAACATCCAAGAATACCAGCGCCATATGGCAGTGTGTCAAAACCTTGTACCCCTGGTGAACATCAAAATAGCTGGTAAATGGATGTTCATCCCACTAAAAATTGTATTAATAGGTATTGATCCATACCCATATCAATTTAGCTTCCCAACATGGACTTCATGGCGGCGTTGTACAGGCTCTGCGGCACCGTCAAGGCATCTTCTTCTGGCCTCTGCTTGAAGCCACCAGGGTCCAGTAAGTTTGACACCGGGGGTGAGACCCAGAGTTCTTGGAGCTACCTGTTACACTGCAACTGAACTGAAACATCTGAAACCTCTTGGGGGCGCCCATGACGCAGGCCTCAACTCTTGACATTGTTCCGAATTCTGCTCGAATGAGCTGATTGACTAAGCTGAATCTCCATTTTTCCAATCTTCAGGTGGTGAAACCACTATTTTGGCTTGGTCAAGTTGGTCAAACCACCATTTTCTCGTGCTTTCACCCCTATCTTTGTTGGTTGCATCCTCAGTCTTCCGACATCTTTTTCCAGTTGTTTCCTCAATGTTCCGCATCTATAGTTCAATTCCTATAAAAATCACCATATACATCCAAAAAAAAACATGAACCCCCTAATAAATCACCATGAAGTAACAGTAAATCCCATGAAATCACCATGAAATCACCATGTTTCAACCGCTTTGAACCGGTGAAAGCACCCCCGGGCTTCCCGAACTCTTCTGTGAAGGCGCGGAGCACCAAACGCCGGACCTCGGCACCGAAGAAGCTCGCAGAGACCTCGGAGGGCCAAGGTCTCTAAGGGCCCGACAGGGAAAGTGGGGTGGTAGAAATCCTCCAGTATTTTTCAGCACTCAAAATGGGGATTTAACTGATTTAACCATCTAAAAACGGTGATTTCACCACTAAAATCGGTGATTTCACCACTAAAAACGGTGATTTCACCACTAAAATCGGTGATTTCACCACTAAAATCGGTGATTTCACCACTAAAAACGGTGATTTCACCACTAAAATCGGTGATTTAACGATCAACAAGTCAGAGGGTCACCATTGGAATTGACCATCCCCAGCAACAGTTTGACTTTGGAAATCACCCATGGAGCCAGTGAAAGTGATCTTCTCCAAGCACCCGCTGATGGCAGGTATACCCTCCGGTAATCTTAACATAGCCATGGAGAATCACCATTGGTCGGATGTAGTAGGTACACCCATACGCCAAAGTCCTTGCAATGTTCGCATTTGACAGCTATTCCCAATCAAAGCGCTCGCCACGACCCCTGTCCCGGCACAGACCTTGCAAAACCCCTTTCCCCATTGGAAACGCTAGCTTTAACAAGCCTTGACCAAACTATCATGGTTCTATTCGTTTTTGGCCGAATCCCATCGGAACGCCGGTTTCCAACGGGCCTTTTTTCGTGGGCACTGTTGACGCCCACAAACAAAAACGAACAAAAACGCGAACCAACCCCTTTTCCTAGTTTGTATACTGCAGGATGGGTTCTGATAAAGGAAAAAAACGAGATCCAAAAACGAGGTCCAAAACGAGGTCAAAACGAGGTACGGAAAAAGCCCCGCATCTACACACATGGACTTTGGCCCGCAAGCCGCAATCCTGCCCTTCCTTGGATCACTGGTAGCGAAACAATGACAATTTGCAGAATCCCAGCGTTGTGTAGAAGTACCCGGAAACAGCAACAGCAGCAGCCGTCGAACCAGCAGCCGCAGCAACAGCAAAGACCCCAGTAGCTGCAGAACCCAACAGCAACCATCCCAAACACAATGAGAACGCAACTAGCAAGATTAAAGCACTATGCTAATAGTAAAACAGCGCCCTACCCCAAACACAACCTAAACGCCGCTTCGCCACTTTAGGTCTACATGAGATAGTAAAACAGCAACCTACCCTAAACACAAGCTAAACGCCGCATCGCCACGACTTCCACAAAAGCCTTCCCCCAAGCTAATTTCAAGATTTTTGGGATTTCGCCGCGACTTGGGCAGTTGGGAGTAAATGATCTGTAAAGGGCCCATGGCTTCCATAGCTATGCGAAATTCCCGGATGAGCAAAATCCTCCAAATCTGGATTTAGATACAGTAACTCCAATATCAAGATTCGAAAAGTTTCATGTTGAACGAACGTTTTAGTGGTGTGTGACCAACGTCCAAGCCCACCTCGGGTGATGTTGGTTTCTTGGCAAACCACTAAGAGCCAGGGTGAATTTCTCCAGAATCTACGAACGTGGGGCTTAACGGTTTTAAGGCAACTGGGAATATCATGAGAAGACCATTGGTAATATTTTGGTTGGCGGTTAAGTTGAAACCTCAAATCATTGAATATGGCTTCAAATTGGGGGAATTGTTTAGGGGTAGATCGTCGGAGCTTGTGACTTGAAAATGATGATGTTATGAAATGTCATGGTGATATCAGACTGAACCGATTTTTGGTAAAAAAAAAATGATGGTGTCCGTTGAGCCAATGGTGATTTTTTCAGGGTGACCCCTTGGACGAAATCATCAGGGTCGATGGATCCAGTGGGCTGATTTGCTCTGCCTGTCTGTTTTTCAGCTTAAAACATACCCTCTGGTAATTGAACATGACCATTTATAGTGGATTTTCCCATTGAAAATGGTGATTTTCCATAGTTATGTTAGTTTACCAGAGGGTATCTTCAACAACCAACGGAATTGGGGAAATGGGATCAGTTTATTTCTGAAAATTGGAAAAATTGGAAAACAACATCCACCAACCAGAATCTTTTTTCTTACTGGTGCTAAACGTAGGGAATGGATGGGTTGCTGGTGGTTGCTGGGATGATTATTACTAGTGATGACATGGATCATTCCCGAAAATTCCCTGCGTAAAACGCACCAGTAAGTCAAGAAAATTGGGAAAAATCAGCAATAGTAATCCATCAGTTTCTGACTCTTCCTGAAAATGGAATTTATCAGAGGTCGAATCAATGAGGTTCCATCTGTTGGACTTTGAGCGGAGTGGATTCTCATTGTGAAAAAGTCCAAAGGACCCATCCGAAACAGTGCTGAAACTCTTCAACCCATTGAAACTCATCAGTTGAATCAGTTGTTCATAGTTGTTTCATGTTGTTTCTCCATTTTCAACATAGAATCTCATGGAGGGTGATCTCAACGCCATGTCACCAGCGGTGGTGGAGCTTTGGGCTTTGTCGCCTGGCGGCTGGGTTGGTTCAACGTACACCACAGGCGCCCAGGAGAGCAGCCAGGCCTTGCCCTTGCCTTTGCCCTTTCCTTTGCCCTTTCCTTTGCCTCAGCCGACCAGGTCACAGATCTTGGTAAAACTCATATCGCGACACATTTCTTTGGGCCTTCAGATCTTCCAACACCACACGCAGCATTTGGCATGTCCCAAAGTTGGCTCCCAGGTGTCCGGGCTCATCTTCGAAGCTTCCGGGAGCTCCTACTTCGATTCACCGTCCCAATTTCAGGAGTCAAATCAAGGGATATCATGTTCCAATCCACCCAATTCCAGGGAAGTTAGTGACTCATCACTGATACCTGGTAATTCACCAGATGAAAAATCCTCGTGTTTCATGGGTGAATCATATCGACCATCTATAGCCTACCCATGCCTACCCTCTGGTAATGACTGTTACAGTTCACGAAAATAAATGGCCCATAGAAACAGTTGATTTACCTACTAAATGTGGTGATTTTCCATAGTTTTTGGTATGTTTACCAGGCCGGGCATGTTGGATTCCCAGAGGACCATCGCCGCGCCTGTGGAACCAATGGACCCTCCTGGGGTTGGCCCATGTCGCTCCATCCCTGCATCCCGTCTCCACGGCTGGGGGAATCGCCACGGGGAAGCGAAGCTCAGCGAAGGAAGTCGGATCACTAGATTTGGTGGTTGTCCTTGTTGCTTTTAACGGCAGTATCCATATGTATGTTATACAGTGGAATATATATATATATATCTATCTATCTATCTATCTATCTCTCTCTCTCTCTCTGTGTCTGTGTATGTATATGTACCGCTTTGTTGCACCTATACAAAAATATCATAAAGATTCCGGACAGTCGTGGCTTGCATATCCTGTTCTATATAATTCCTACCACCTGCCATGAGCCAAAGAGGCACACACAAACACTCAATGTCTGGCTACAGTATGTCTGGCTCACCAAGCACAAATCTGAGATCTCGGGTAGTTTTCAAACAAGAATAGTTTTGGACTGCCACGTTTCATGGCGAACTGTTCTGAGCCTTTGGAGGTGCTTTGGCCTGTGTTGGATAAAAATATCGAGAAAACGTTCTTTGATACATGTACAACCCAGAACAACTGATGGCACCACAAAGCAAGAGAACATCCTACCACATGGCATCACACAGCTTGTCTCCTGCTACAAACCTTGATGCAGGCCACCTTTCTCCGTTCGCGACTGCAGCTGGCCAGTGGGTTTCTGGTCGGCCGTGGAAGAAGGATGGCCATCCCAAGTATCCACCGTGGTACATGAGCCGTCAGCCTGGTGGACAGCTAGGAGCACCAGGTTTTGGACTGTGAGCAGTGTTCAAAATCCCTCATTCCATTATGCAACGGCTGCGAGATTTTATATGATTTTATAGGGATTCCCAATATATAATTGGAGGATTATTAATACCATCCCATTAATCTTGGGTAGTATAATCCCCCTATAATCATCAACGAATAGGGGTTTTGAACACTACTCACATGAGCATGGTTCGAACTTGAGTATCCAAACACGAAAAGGTTGCTTACACAAAGAATGACCCGAAAAAATCTGGGTTGTGTTGTCGGCATCTTGAATTTGGACAGTTGACCGTATTTCGACCTCAACATGGCACAACGATTCATATCAAAAAGCCTCCGACCTTTTGGCGTCCCTAAAATGACCTGTCTTCAATTTCTCGCCTGAATATTCCATGAATCGTGCATGAGCCTAGCTCATGCCATTTATTGGATTGATCATGATCAAGTCAATCCATAAATGCCATTTTTATGTACAGCGGAAACCATTTTCTCAATCCAACTGCCAATCCAACTCAGTGGCTCCTTAGCTCCCCATTCACCGGGAATATGCTGATCCCCGAACTGCTCCCACGGGACCCCCGCCCAGAGGGGCGCCGGGTTGCGGCCGCCTCACTTGAGTGCCTCACGGGGAGCGAACTTGGTTCACCAATTGGTGTCGGTATACCATTCGAACATGGTCGAAATGTGTGGAAAATGTTTGGAAAAGTGTGGAAAATGACAGGAAAATGGTGGGAAATGGGATGGATTGCTTTTTTTTGGAGAAATTCAACTGGAGACCATGGTTTTTCCCGTGAAATATCTATACTGGTTTCCTGTAAATGTTCCCTTACACCCATCCAGTGATGTGGGGAAATTGTAGAACATCATGAAGAAATATAAAGGAAAATATGGGGAGTCATCTTCCAAACTGACAATCAATCACCTCACGATGCGCCGCACCACTGCCATCCGGCAGTCGTGGGGGCCGTCCTGGGAACAAATCCGCGAGTTTTTAACGCAGAAATCACCAAGTTCCCATCAAAGAAACTCAAATTTCTATGCGTTGCACCCGAGGTGGGCAGCATTTTCGATTCATCAAGATCCCCTTTTTTGTCACTTGAGTTGCAATGTATTGTGGGTTCATCTTGGTTCAATCCCTGTGATATCTAATCTGGCAATCCCAGAAAGCCACACCAACTTTCCCATTTGAGGGGCTTTCAAAAAATTGGTGATGTTGCTGTAAACCTGTTTGGTGAAGTTGTAGTTTACCCCACTTTTTGTCTTTCCCCACTTCGGAAGTCCAAATTGTTGTGCCATGTTTGTCAATAGGCGACCTCCACATCCAATGCTTCTCCCAAAGATTGCCATTTGGGGCGCTAACTCAGGTAGACCTTCTTTAAAATCGAAAAATCTCCATCAGACCCATCAAAAATCGAAAAATCCCAAACTCAAAACTCAGCCCAGGCCCAGCGCATTCCTGGGCGCCTCCTTCAGCGCGAAGCGCGTCTTGGCCAATTTCAACTCCTCGCGGACGAGGCCCAACAGCAGCTCCCCACGTTGCCAGGAGTTGGCCTCGGCAGATCACCAATGGTTTCAGGGGGAAATTCTGGTGGCTTAATATGGGTTAATGGGATTTTGATGGAATTCGTGATGTGAATGGTGAGTTCATGGTGATATTTATGGGATTTTATGGTGATGTTGTGGTGATTCATGGGGATCTAAGGAACGAACACTTGGGGGATTTTACCATAGTGAATGGAGTTTCATAAGTATACCATTGAAATCTTTGATGGAAGAGATATGCATATACATTTGTTTTTACACTATTGCATATGTATATACGTTTATTTGCATATGTACATCTAGCTCTCTATGTCTATTATGTCTGCTCTCTTTCATATGCATATACAGGTGTGTATATCTAGATGTATAGAGATGAATGTAAAGTATGTTTGCGCATGTACGTAGGTTTGCTTTTGTCGTGGGTGGGGCATACACGAAAAACGTGAGGAAACGTTGCTCGATCTGATTGCTGAAGACTTTCGCGGGACCACAATGATACAATGCTCCTAGATGCAACTGGTATGACAGGGTGGTTGGGTGGTGGGTTTGAGCCTGGGGTCTTGGGATGAAATCATGAAAGATATCAAAAAACGAACCTGCTTGGCTATCATGTGGTTGGGACACTCAATTCCTAGCTCCCTAAATCATCAAGTCAATCCCAAAATGTACTGCTGAAACCATGATCAATCCAAATGCCAGTCAATAGTGGCTCCTTGACTCCCCATTCTTCCTTTTGTTGGTTAAATCCCTATTCAACACCATCAGAATCCCTTAAATCCCATCCAAAATCACCATGAAAATCCATCGAAACACCATGAACTTACCATTCATCAGATAAAATGTCACCAGAACTTTCCCTCAAAAAACCATGGATGCACCGAAAAAAATCACCATCAAATCGCTTTTTCCCGAAGCACAGGCACTGCCAGCAGCGGTAGCAGCTGTTCCCAGAAGTCCCAGCCCAGGTCCAAGGGGCCAGCCCTCAGGGAGTTTGGGAAATTTCAGGGAATGGTTTGATGGGCTTCAATAGATTTACCCTCTGGTTATGACTAACATAGCAATGGAAAATGGTCCATTTATAGATAGTCTACCTATTAGAAATGGTGATTTCCCATGGCGAACTGTTAAATAACCAGATGGTAAATGAATTGTCCGGGTATTTAGGGTTTTTCTGGGTGGTTTGGGCGGGTGAATTTCCCATGGGTGTTTGAAAAGGGGTTTTCAATTTGTTCCTGGTGATCTGATGGAATGGTGATGGGGATTCTGATGGTGATGAATGGGGATTTCACCAACAAAAATAAGGATACCCTCTGGTAAACGTTTACATAACTATGGAAAATAATCATTTTTAGTGGGTAAATCAACTATAAATGGGTTATTTTCCATGGCTATGTTAAATAACCAGAGGGTAGTGTTGCCGGGATCTTCCAGATGTCCCCTCCGGTCATTGGCCCATGGAGTTCGATGATTTGCCTCGCTGCCGCAAGTGGTAATTTTCCATGACTATTTCAATTACCAGCAGGGAACTGGTGATATATGGGCATGTCATGGGGATGATATGGGAGGGATATGTAAGCAGCATGTTTCATTTGGGTGTCTGAAAATGCGTCATTTCATGGAGTTTGGTGGGTTTTAATTGCATTTAATGGTGGTTTGATTGGATGTAATGGGGGTTGGCCAACCAATGGTAGATGGTTTCGTCGCGCCTTACAAGCGTGGCTGTTGGTAGTTCCACAGGAAATGGGGGGCAGGTTGCCTTTTCCAAGTTGATGTGATTTCCTACTCTCAAGTCTTTGCAAGCTCGGTGAACTCATCAATGGGATCATGAATATCAACCGATCTAACGATCTAACGATGGGATCCTTTTATTGATCAAATGGGAGTGTCACATAAAACCCGAGCACTGGTTTTGTTTATACATCTTGGTACATATTTCAGGAAGATCCAGTCATCAACAGACAATTCCCAGTTGGTCCTAGCTCATGATCTACGTTGAATCTACATATATTGTCTTGATCATTCCTCAAGTTTTGGACCAGTTCATTCCTGCCTAAAATTTTGGTCGGAACAATCCCCCCATTTAGTTTGATGTTCCCATCAAAACCTCTAGTTATGATGGATTGTCCTCTCTTTTCCCATGTTTTTCCATCATGGAGCTTTTGGAAGACCAGCTCCAGAGCCTCTTTCTGCGACATCCTCCCCTCCTGTGGCTCCGGTAGGGCTAGTGAGGCTAGTGCCCCTGGGGACTGATTCTTTTACCGTAAGAGGATGGGAAGTTATGCTGGAAAAAAGAGCACCCTAGTGAACATGACTCCGGCGCAAATAATTACCATGATTCCCACTTCGAAGTGCGATTCACTTGTTAGTGGATATATGTACGTGTATATATATATATATGTGTGTGTGTGTATTGTATTTATTCATGTATTTAATCAATTTATTTATTGAATCATTTATTTATTTAGAATGTATTTTTTTATATGTTTATACTTATTCATTCATTTATTTATTAATTTATTTATATGTATTTACATTTATATTGCGAATAGAGTGTAGGCTACGGAACACTGTACACTCCCACATAATTCAGCCCTCAAGGATCCACCGCCAAGGGGTGCGTCAACTTGCCCCTTTGGCTCAAGACTACTGCAGTACCGGAAGAAAGTATCGCCATGCTGAAGCCGCAACTCGTGTGCCGTCATCACTGAAGACAACCACTTCAAGACCAAACATCAGTACATAATCGGGGAGATAACCTCCGATTCACTGGTTATCAGCCGTAGGACTCCTACGGAGCCTACGAGCGGGTAGCCGCGGGCCTTACAGATGACTGAACAGGATAGCAGCGATAACGCATTTTCTTTCTCTGGACATGCCGTTGCACCAGCTGCCGGCACGCAGTCAAATTCTTCACAGAGTATCGACACTGGTGGAAGCGATGCCTCAGAACTGAGAACGAGCCTACCCAGGCGACCTCTGGTTGCTCCTAGAGGGAGACAAATTACGACAATGCAAGCAATTGAAGATAGGGACAGCACACCTGGAAAGAGAAGATCATCTGCACGACAATTGTCGCCTCCGATGACTCCAAGGACTAAGGCAAAGACTACGTCGTCGAATCCGCCTTCACCGATTCAGGACGCTACTCCATCAGGGACAGGATCTTATCAGCAAGTGAACGCCCCGTCGAGTGGTAGCGACATCTTCACTGCCTATCAGAGTGAACTAGCTGAATACAAGACATCACTGGAAAAGGCCACTGAAGAAGAATCCGTACTTCAGGCAAGATTGGCCGAGACGACAGCATATGCCTATCAACAATTTAATTTCCTGGAAAGCACCACTCATCAAGAGATGATGTCGATGACCGAACAACTCCAGATGCTGAACTTCGAGTTACAGGCTGCACAGCAAGAAGATGAAGGTGCGACCTACAGGATCGAAGAGTTGGAAAGGTATCAGACTATGTCGAATGAAGCTGCATCTCATTTGGAATTCAAATATTCACGACTACGTTCGGAATTCGATGAACAAATGGGACAAGCAAACGCAATTATGGTGCATGTGGGCGCTGATGCGAATGCTCACATCAATCAACTCAGACTGGAACTGGAAAACGCAGAGATGAATGCCAAGCAAGAAGCTCTAGCGGTCGGCTATGCTAACGACCAGACATGTGCTTTACAAATCGAGATGCTCGAAGTTGCCAATCAGAACCAGACGATGAAGCACACCATGGCCATGAATGTTAGACGACTGGAAACTGAGCTCGATGCTGATGACATGAAGAGGGACGAGATCATGAAGGAGTTCCGTAGTAACATAAGATCTGAACATGACCGCTATGCAGAATGTGAACATCACTTAGCTTTGGAAGAATCGCAACTTCGATTGCAGGTGACCCACAATGAAAACTTACAATCTCGACTAGCGATTTCTGAGAGCAAGGTTTCTGAAGAATCTCTAGCTGAATCAAGTGGCATGCGGGACATGAGGATAATGGGACTACGTTCTGAACTACACATGAAACAAAGTCTTTTAGATCGAATGCAACAACAACTGACTGAATCGAAGAATCAGTATCATGAACTTTCTTGCCAACAAGCCAGAAGATCTTCACCAAGCAGATCACCGCATGGAGGACCTCTATACGAGATGTATATGCAAGCCGTGCGTGAGCGTGACAGCTTGAAGGAATCCAAGGCTAAAGTTGACAAGTTGTACTTGCAAAACAGAACTGAACTCATTGACACTGAGAACCTGCTCAAAACCTTCCAGCAAAATTTCGATGAAACTGGTAAGAAATATCAAGATGCTCTGAACAAGATCGATCACATGAGTAGCAATCCGAATGTGACGAGTAACTTGTTCGACAGTTTGCACAATGAAATCAATGACAGGGACACAGCTATTGCTCGCCTTCATACTGAACTTGAAGCCCAAAAGGATTCTCTAGAGCGTGCTCACAGGGATGCAGGTAAGTCCATCAAGATGTTGAACGACAGAAGACTCGTGATCAAAGGTGCGACTGACTATTCCATTCCTGAAAGCCACTTGACCGAGATGCATCAATTGGCCAATGAGCGTTTCGCTGAGGTAGAAGAGATGTCGAACACCATTGCTGCCCTGAAGTTGGAAAACCAAGCTCATTCTTCTTCATCAATGAATAGACCGACTACATTACATGGGTACCCCAGTAATGCTATGCCTCGGAATGAATGTGGAGAGAAGTGTGCCAAACTGAAAGCAGAGTTGGACGAGATGAAGCAAGAGAGGAACGCTGAAGTTCGAAATCTTCAAGATGAGTTGAAGAAGATGGAAGATCGTAAAGATTACTACAAGAACAATTTCTCTCAAGCTGAAGATCGTGCCAATGATGAAGAGCAGGAATACCGAGCAGAAGCTGAAGCCTTCGAGAAGCTCAGGAACGAGTACAACACAAATGTCAAGGAGTTGGAGAACCTTGAAAGGGATAGATCCAAGTCATCCGTATCTCTAAGAGAAGCCGAAAAGATCAGCCTCCAACCCTGGCCTAAGACCACTGAACTTTCATCCTGGAAGGGAAGTGTCGTTCATGAAGTTTGTGTTGCAAGTGGAGATCGAAACTATGAAGATTGGAAAGCGTGGCTAGCTCCGTGTCTTGCAGATCAACCTGACTTGGAGCCCTGGCCAAAGCACCCGATGTGAGATTCCAATCCATTGATGCCAAGCTCTCCAATGCCTTGAGGAAAGTCATTGACAATGCTGGGGACAAGTCCATGCAAGTGAAGTATGACATGTCCATGAAGAACCAATTGTATGGGAGAAGTGGGGACTTCATCAAGGGACGAGAATTATTCGCAATGATACTGATTAGCTTCAAGTCACCTGACCACACTGAAGTTCTCTACAACGCCCATCATTTATATATGTTCAACTACTATGGAGATGACCAGCTTGAGGCCTTCTACAACAAGTGGCTTGACATCGTATACAACATGAAACATGATGATCTGCCTTCCAATAATTCCCTGCGTGACACATTGTTCCGGAAGATTGAACATTCAAAGCTTATGGCCTTTGATATCAACCGATACAAAACCTTTGATGAAGGGCATCCTGAGAAGACCTATGCTTATCTAACTGGCATGATCAAAGGATACATAGCACGAGGAAAGCAAGAACGACTGTTGAAGGATAGAGAACGTGCAGTGAAACTGTCATTGTCCTCTACCAAGACGACGCCTGCCCTGGAAGATGCTGACAAACCTGCTGCTCCCATCAAGACCAAGAAGGAGAATGAAGCAGCCGCATCGTCTACAGGTGATCCTCCCAAACGACCTAAAGCGAAGGCGAAGAGTGAAGCTGCCTCAGTCCTTCCAACGCCTTCTCCGAAATCTCATGCCGACAAGAACAACAAGAAAGGCTAAGGTGGGAAGGGAAGATCATCTTCACCCGTTGACAAGAAGAAGATTTTCTGCAACTACTTCTTCAATAAAGGAGGATGCAATAAAGGTGACAAATGTCTCTACAGTCATTCTCAGAAGGTCTATGATGCCAAGATGAAAGGTAAGAAAGGCAGAAGCGGAAGTCGAGATTCATCAAGGGGGAAAAGTAGAGGAAGTTCATCTTCAGCTGGACCCAAAAAGAAGATATGTTGGAATTGGCAAAAGGGTACCTGCACGTTCGGAAGCAAATGTAAATTCCTACATGCAGATCAATCGCCTTCAGCATCTTCAGAGAGAACCAGCAAGAAAACACCAAAGAAGAAAGCAACTCCCATTACCATTGACTCCTTCTTTGATAGCGACAATGAAGATTCTATGGATTATACCTCACCGAGGATAGCCAGTGCAAAGAAGTCTTCTGATGATCGCAGGATCTCTTTTGAACTGGAACCTGAAGTGCACGAGATTGCCATTGAGAACTACCAGGAGGGACTACCCAAGCGTATGTATCGTGACCCCAACAAGCAGTATGTCTTCTGGAAAGTCGATGATTTGACCGACGATCAGTGCAAGTCCGACAACACCCTCGGTTCAGTCCGAGCACGGGCCAAAGCTATCATCATGGACAGATGTGGGCTCCATCGTTTTGTTGATGAAGTTAGAATCATCATTGGCCCCAAGTTCGACATGTTGATCAAGCTGGACGACGATCGGGATGACTTGACTTTTATTGAAGAACTTGTTGAGCACGAAGTTGGAAAACCCCTCATGAAGTCCAAGAACATGATGTGCATTTCATTGCCAGTACAAGCCAAAGATCGAAGATTCATCCTGGATTCTGGCAGCGGACACGACCTGATTTCTGCAAGGAAAGCCGAAAGGATGAACTTGAAGCAACGAACTTGTGATCCTATCATGTTCCACACCGCCAACGGTTCAACTGCCACTCAGACGGAAGCGGAGATTGACCTGGGAACATTTGATGTGACATCTCATGCTTATGTACTTGACGACACTCCGTCTGTGATGTCTCTTGGGAAACGATGCATGGAAGAAGGATACTCCTTTGTATGGCCATCTGGTCAAATGCCTTTCATGATTACGAAGAATGGAGAACGCATCGATCTGACAATCCATGACAACATCCCCTACGTTGATCTTGGGACATACGAATGCACTCCTCATGAATGTCATCATGCATCGAAGATCCATGACCTATTGACACATTCTCAAGTCGGATTCAACGATTTCAACGATATTGATGATGTCGGTCAACCCTCACGAAGAGTACATCTCGATGGAGAAAGTGGTCTTGAGACATCGATTGAGGACCACAATTGTTCCCGATATGTCAAGAAGCTCAAGGTGAAGAAGAAGAGAAGAGCAATGAACCGGCAAAGACATTCGGCAACTCCTGGAGAAGAAGAAGGAGAACCACCTGAGGGCGGCGAGTACGATCCCGGAACTCCGCTTGACGAACTTCCTGGGGACGTGACTGACTTTGAAGATGATGGTCATGGTGCTCCTGAAGACGCCGCTGAAGGTGATGAAGATGACATTGAGATCGATGTTGTCGAGGGTGAGTCCAGGGTAGCCAAAAGAGGAACACTCAAGAGAGAAGCTAACAGCCTGAATCACAAGTTGACCCACAGATACAAGAATCCATATTGCGACTCATGCATTCGAGCAAAGATGAAGCACTTCAAGACTCGTCGTGGAGCGTACAAGAGGGAACTCAAGAAGTTTGGCGACCTCATTACCTTTGATGCGGTGGACACATCCAAAGTCCATGATGACGTGTTGGTCCTCGAGAAGGAAGTGCTGGTTGTCAGAGACTGTTTTACAGGGATCATTGGTGCTTATCCATCTGATCGAATGACCAAGGACGATGTAGTTAGGGCAGTGAAACAGTTCATCGGCGTCAAGAAGGTCAGACAGGCTTACTCTGATCATGCTCCTCAATTCATTGAAGCCGTGAATGAGATGAAGATACCAATCGATCATTCGTTACCTGGAAGACCTCAAACCAATTCAATTGCCGAAAGGACGAATCAATTTATCCTCACAGCTACTTCTACATGTCTTTTGGAAGCTGGATTACCACCTTGTTTCTGGAGAACAGCAATCCTTTGTGTATGTCATCTACTCAATGTAGAACCCAACGATGATGAATTGAGCGCTTGGTGCAAACTCCATGGATCTGAATTTGCTGGCAAACTCATTCCCTATGGTGCTCGTGTGAACTACAAACCTCCGAAAACCAGAGAAGCAGGACAACTTCATAAGTTCGGGCCTGACTCTATTCCTGGAGTGTTTGCAGGGTATCACATTGGTCCAGGGATGCATTGGTCAAGACAATACAAAGTATGGCCTCTGAGTGAATTCGTACATCAGAATCTTGGTGACGATGCTAGCAAACCCGAACACCGTCTTCTCAAACCTCATTTGACTGAAAAGGTCGAGATGGTCACCCCATTGACATTTCCATGCAAGCAAGAGTATGAGAGGGTGAACACCACGTTGGAAGGAATGAAAGAAAGAGAAATCCTCGATGGTGACCCCTCCAAAGTGCCTCATGGAGATGACGAAGAACATGGCCAAGATGAAGATGATGATGAGCTTGATGACGGAGACGACGGTGGACCTGGACCAAGTGGTGGAAAAGTCTCAAAGAAGCCTCTTGATGACTCCGAGGATATCTTCGACAAAGACAAAGATCCAGAAGAGATGACCCTCCAGGAATTGATCGACGCCCAACCAGACCATTGGAAGAAGGGCAAAGCCGGAGATGGGAAGATATACCTCAATGACGATGGTGAGAAGGTCAAGTTGAACGTCAAGGGTTACCCATACAAGATTGGAGATGACGGTAGACGAATGTTCAGAACGTCACTGCGTCCCAAAGGGACCTATTCTCCTGAAGAATGGCGCGAACTCTCTCAGTCTGACCGGAATACCATCCTCAAAGCCGAGAAGAAGAAGTTGGAGAAGAAAGAGGCTGATGACAAAGCCAAAAGATTGGTCGAGGAAAAGAAGAAGAAGGCGACGAAGAAGGAGAAGAAAGATTCAAAGAAAGACAAGGACGAGCCGAAGTCCAAGGACGATGAAGGTGGTGATGAAAGTAAGAAGGATGACTCTCATTCAAAGTCAAAGAAATCCGATGCAGGTGTTGGTGAAGTTGTGAAGAACAAAGTTACCTTACCTATCACATGTACAAGTACGTATCTTGACCTGTACGACATAGTCGATGATGACGATGTCCATGGAAAACGGTACATTGATTGTCGAAAAGTGAAGAGGAATGCTGATGCTAGTCCATGCTCCGATGCTTCTACTGACGTCCCGGACGACGAGGAATACCTCACTGAATGGGATGAATGGTCGGAGGTCGAGAAAGGACGTGGCCCAAAAGCATCGTGGAGTGGTGAAGTTTGGAGCACATTGTCAGGTGAGACTTCGAGATTCTCCATGGCTACGCCAGGCGAATCGACAATGATCAAGAATGGCAAATGTGTTAACGTCAAGAACGTGAAGAACCTAGCCACTGATGATGATGAATACATTCCATTTCCAACTATGCCGTGTACTTCTGCATCCAATCAAAGTCACCGAACCAAGATACCATCAAGGGGCCTTGGAAGCAAACTTTTCAACGCAATGGTTTCACGACCTGTGGGCAGAGCTGAGATTGAGTCTAACCCAAAGGCCAAAGAGGCAATGCTCAAGGAGTGGAAAGGCCTTCGTGATCAAGAGGTATTCGACTTTACAATGGTTCGTGAATATGACGATGTTGTTGCAGAGGCCAAGAAGAACAAAAAGGAAGTACATATGGCCAGGGTCCATGGCATATGCGTGGAAAAGAATTACCAGTTGTCCGAAGACAATCCTGGTCGAAAATTCAAGGGAAGAGGCGTTCTGCTAGGAAATCAGGTGAAGAATCAGCATTGGGAGGCAGCATTCTTCCAAGACTTGGGAAATTCCCCTGCTTCCTTCGAAGCCTCACGATGGGCAGATTTTTACGGATGTCTTCCTGGGCACTCCGTCAAGTTGGCAGATGCGATTCAGGCTTACATCCAGGCTAAGTTGAAGGGACCTTTGTGTTGGGTGGAGTTACCCACTGATGCATGGCCTCCGGAGATACAGTACTGGAAGTTCCGTCGCCCTGTCGTAAGACTCGACAAAGCCCTGTATGGACATCCCGATTCAGGCACGATGTGGGAACAACATTGTGACAAGAAAGTTCAAGAAATTGGTTTTAAGCCCATTGGAGAGGAATGGCCTTCTATGTATTTTCATGATGAGCTCAAATTGCTGTTGGTAATCTATGTGGATGACCTTAAGCTTGCTGGGCCCTCCGAAAATCTGGCCAAAGGTTGGGAAATGCTGCGCACTGTTTTGCGCATTGAACCCGAAACCGACTTGGGACTTTACTTAGGATGTGTTTTATCCCAAGGTGAGACCCAACTGCATAATGGTAAGAAAGTCAAGACCATAACTTATAACATGGAAGGATTGTTAAAGTTATCAGTGGAAAAGTATCTTGACATCATTGGTAAGGACACAAAATTGAAAAAGGTATCAACTCCAAGCCTTCCAGAGGAAACGAAAAGCAGCCCGTATCGAGCTCCTTCCGATGGAAAACGCAAAGTTGAGTGTCCTTGGTGTGCACATTCCTTCGACCCAGATGTGCCTGCTCTCTCCGAGACTGGCAACTCATGTCCTGGCCAAGACAATGAGACGCTGAGCCGAGGGAATCTAGCTCCGCATGCAGCTAGTGTGCTTATGAAGCTGCTGCATGCAGCCCGCATTGCGCGGTTTGACCTGTTGAGATCCATCAATGCATTGGCACGTAATGTGACCAAATGGACAAAGGATGATGACGCCCGTCTTCATCACCTAATGTGTTATGTTAATTCCACATTGTCCCTCAAAATGATAGGATGGGTCGGAGACAAAATTGAAGATTTATCATTAGGACTATT